GTTGCTGTCCTCAACAAAGGGTCCTCACCGTGCCCGAAGAAGGTAGGTCGACGGCATCGTGAAACTCGAAGCAAAGGGTTCAGGGAGATTGGAGACGTGGTTATCCATTGGAAAATGGGGAAAAAAACAAAAAGGTAAAACGAACCCGAGACGAGACAGAAGGAAGATCAGAAAATTGTTAAGCACAGTATGCTCAGAGTCCGGACGAACCCATTGCTCGCCCTCGGTTTCGGAGACAAAGTTGTCAAAACTCAAAAAATCATGGTAAAAACGGTCCGTCGTTTTCTCCCCGTTTCACCAACTGAACTCGCAGTTGGATTAACCGTCGAGTCGACTTGGTCAGTGCTTCCGTCAGATTGAATGAATGCCACGGTGCGGTGTGCTTGGACGACGTCAAAGAGTCGGTCCGTTCATCGACTCTTATCTCGATGTTATCTGTGATATCGAGATCTCTGTGCTCTTTTCTATCACTTGTCTTGCTGTCTTTTCGCCTCACACGCAGGCGATATCTTCTATGACTTAAGCGCCGATTTTCATATGATACCATGGCGAATTTTCCATGAACGAGTTTTCACAAACTGTGTCCACGTTTCGTATGTTCGGTTCGGATAAACAAGGTTCAAAACTTGACGATGGTGGTGGTGGTGGCAAATCATTTCCTTTGGAGGGAAAGTACTGCGTACACTACTCGAACTCCCGAGCCAACCACCACTACGAAGTGCCGATATGATAGACATGCTGACATGATATGACAAGATCCTAGACAAAAGCAAGACAAGAAAGAACAAGCACGAACAAGCAAATTAATGAGCCGCATTGTGCAAACTCTGTCAAATCGAACGGGGATATGAAATTCCGAGTGTTACAACGCCGGTAGCTACGGTAGCCAAGGAAGCCAAGCAAAAAGTCATGAAAAGATGGGTTTTCGAAAAACTCAAAATCTTCGAAAATGCTTCCGCTCCAATGAATTGCAATGGTACATCCAAGCATGACGGTTATCACTCGGAAAGCGCCGGGGCCACATTCAGCGGATTTCGGCACCGGCGCCGCGACACAGGGGATGAGGTTGGCCCTCTGATTTGCATGGGGATACTTGTCTTTCAGTTCCTCTCAAGAAAGGTTGAGAGAGATGATCATACCTTAGTTTCGCGTGAATGTAGTGAAAACATTTGTTGCAAAATCGTTCCCGGGTTGTTACCTGACGATCAGAATTCAATGTTCCCAAGCATGCATGAACTGAATTCCTAAAGTCGCGAATCAGTGACGCTTCCAACATCCACGGCAAAACCAATTCCCCATCCTCGACATTCACGGGCTTATCTCTTCGTCAATGGTCTTGGCATCAATCCTTGGCACGCTCCTCCATCTTGAAACAGCGCCTTGGCACCTCCACGGAGCCCACTCCGGCTCGCTTGGCAAGGTGGCGTCCGCCAAGAAAACCGCACGCACGGCTCTTGTGAACAACGGTTACAAGCTGACGGAAAGGGGTGACCCCTGTTGGTGATAATGGACGACGTAAGATTCTCCAAGTACAGACGTAGGCCCAGTTTGTTATTTCGATATCAATCCATCATATGGGGGGTTTCAAACCAGTGGAAGATATGGGAACAATGGAAGGTATTTGTGAATAGTCATGTTTTGTGTATCCTAGAGAACAATGAGATCTAAAAATGCTGAGCTCTAGTGATAGATCTAACAACATGTAAATGGTGGAAGAGAAAATAGAAAATGCATGATGAGAAAGAAGAAGAAAAAATGAAACATCTTCATCTACTGCTACCACATCCCATCCTCCTCCTCATCCTCGCTCTGCAAGGGCTCATCAACCCTCGCGGTATCGTAGTCCCAAACAAGAAATGAAACCCTTTAAACGCCAAATGGTATGATATCTCCCAATTCCGAGATTCCGCTGTCGCTGCCAAAGCGAAGGTATATATAGCCAAGCCAATCAATGCCCTAAATACCAATGATCATGCTGTAAACAACCACACACTGAAAATCCATCACAATCCGTTTACTCGACGGCAGAGGCGTTCATGTTGAGAGGGTTGACACGGTCATCCCACTTGAAGTTAAAGTCATCACCAAGCTCCTTGCGGCAGGCAGTAGTGACGGCCTCCCAGACGTTGGCGAAGACGCCAAAGTTGGCCGGGTTCTCCTCGTCGTTCTCGCCGCCCTGGAACACACCGGTGCGGACAAGGCACGTGTTCCAGCCGTAGAGGTTACCGCCGACGATGTCGGAAGCCGGGTTGTCACCGACCATGTAGATGTTCTGGGGGATCTTCTCCTCGCCGTGGATCTGCTCCATCCAGGAAGCAATGACCTCGTCGGCGTACTTGTAGGTGGCCATCTCGGGCTTGCCGTAGACGACACGCTCGAGGTCGACGCCGGTGAGAGCCTTGTACATGGCCTCGAGACCGATACGGAAGGCACCCTGGCTCATGCGAGGAGTGGGGTGCTCGGTAGGGCAGAGCAAATCACCCTGGGAGAAGTAGATGGGGATGCGCTGCGAAACAGGGTCCTTGGCAACAGTTCCGAGGCGGCCATTCTCGGATCGGAGAAGATCGACAATGATCTGCATGTCGGTAGCGTAATCGCGGGAGTCGGAGAAGACCATGATGGCCTCGATGTTGCACTTGGTGAAGTCGCGGGGGCGGGAAGTGGCGCGCTCCTCGTCGGTGAAGACGCGGTAGGGAGCGATCGAAGGGTCCCAGGCAACAATGTCGTTGGGAACAACAATGTCCTTGAAGCCATACTCCTCAGCAACCTCGCGGCACTTGTAGCCCTCACCACCGACAACGAGGACGGTGTTGTAGTACTCGGCCAAGGCGCGCATGGGGGTGTGGGACTGGATGAACTGATCGGTGCTGATGGGGTTCTGGAGGATCTTGGAGAGCTGCTCGGTACGGGCAAGCTCGGGCTTACCAGAGCCGTTGGTAAGGAAGATGTGGGGGATCTTGATGCCAAGCTCGTTATCGCCGTTGAGCATGTCCAAGACCTTCTTGCCCTCAGGGATCAGACGATCACCGTGGACGAGGACACCATCGATATCGAAGACAAAGCTCATGTTCTTGACCTTCTCGACCTTCTCAGCGTGGATGTCTTGAACACGGTCGGCCAAGAACTCGCGGGTAGGCTTGAGAGGAAGGGTGCCGGTGGCATCCTGAAGGGCCTCGGCGACGCCGGGGAAGGTGACGCTGCTGAGACGAGACTGGCGCTTGGAACGGGGGATGGGAAGAGAAGCGCCGAACGAGTTGCGGGAGAGTCTGCGCTCCTTCAAGGATGGGGAAGCGGAAAGGTTGTGCATGTAGAGGTCGGCGTGAGCATCGGGAGACCTGGTTGCCGGAACCTCGATGGTGTTGTGGTTGCCGGGAGTAGCAGAAAGAGGGATGGTGAGAGAGTCGGGACGGGTAGAGTTGCCACGAGTCTTCTTGATGTTTAGTTGTTGTGGTCCATTGTCCTGGGGCTCCTGCTGCTGCTGCTTCTGTTGCTCGACACCGTCGACGGCCTTGATTTGAGTCTCAGTTGGTGACTCTGGAGGAGTGTGGGGGGTCGTCTTGGTGGTTGGGTTAGGAATACCCACAACGAGATTGCTTTGCTGACCGGACATCTTGATGGATGGGTATCAGAAGAAAATACAAGACTGTTCGATGTGCTGTATGGATGAAGAGACGCAAGGATGAAAACGGTCTACGTTTCGTGAGTAAAAAAACACAAGAGGATTTGACTGCTGATGATGGCGGAACAATACCATCTTGAGCGGCGGGCATCTGTGTCTCTTATATGTCGACGTCGGTAGGGTCCAAGGCGATAGTATCATGGTCTTGGCTCTTGTCATGGCGGGTGTGCTCTTGGGACCCCTGGGATCCTGGGATGTCCTCTCCATCAGACCAACCACGCGAGTCGCATTCGCGAACCCCTGATCTACTGCTATCAAAGGAATCCATTCAGAGGGTGCCGTCTGGTGCCAAACGTCGATCTCCGACCGAGTATCGCCGCAAGATCTCCAGGATGACAACAGATAGGGCAACTGATGGTGAGATGGCGGTTCCCACACAGTGCCGTGGCCGCCAGCGCAGGGCCCCCCACGGATGGGATTATAGTATTGCCCATCGGACGATAAGTGGCCCCTTTTTGCATGCTCCGTGCATTCACCGTTGTCCTGAATCAATCTCCCATACGCCGCGTCCAAACGTGAAGCGGACACATTTCCTAGTAAACGGATCACGGCTAGGACGGTAGCAGCGTAGGCGGCGGGCTTGTCCATGTCGATGTCGTCAGAGGCTCCAGAATTTGTCAAGAGGTTGAGGGTCCTGGAGAACGGAGATGAGATTGGCCGTCCTAGCAGGGCGAAGAGTGGGCATATTTTGTGGGACCGTTTCGGACTACAACTGCACCACTGCAACGCCGTAAGACAGGTGGCAGCAGCACAAGACCACCCGGCACCCGGCACCCGGCGTTGGCGCTGCCCGCCGTCTTGACCGCTAACCACCAATTTGGATATATCGCTGCCAAACCTTGTCTTTACGTGTCCGTTCGCCGCCGCTGTTTGTCCGTTGTCCGTGTCCGAACCAAGGCACCAAACGGCACCAGAGAGGGCCAAAGCGATGCTGGCTCCAATGACAGCCCGGTGCCTGAAACTGACCGACAGTGATGTTCCAGGGAAGAAATGCGCCAGAGATGGAGGATCAAACATCAGAGAGCCAAACATGACTCGCCATGGATGAAGATCTCGAGATGATCGCCTTGGCGTTTCCTCTGTCATCCGTTTGATGCTGGGCTGTCCCTCCGTCTGGCATGTCGGTGCAACTGTCCTGAGCGTCTCGTTGTCTTTGTCGTTGTGGATGCCCGTCTGAGACCTTGTCGGCGTCGGAAAGCCCACCTCACCCCCGCCGCACGTGGGGCTCCGTGGGGCTCCGTGCGTCATCGGTGGACCCCTAAAAATGCCTCTGCTGCCACTGACCCAACACTGATCCAACGCTGACCCAGCATGCATCACTCTACACAGTAGGGATCCGCACCCCCTGGTCCCTGGAAGGATACCTTGGCAGGCCGCTGCCACCTCTCTTGCCTTTGTTTACCGCCCCGAATCTCAACAGGAAATACGTGCAGATGTGTGCGTATCTGCGTATCTCGGTCCTGGCAGCGCCGGTTTCTTGTAGAGCTCCGAATTGGATTTAACTGGTGCTTCCCGTGGGTTCTGTATCTTGATCAGCAAACACTTCTTATCAGTCTTACCTTCGTTTTGACGACGACAAAGCACTCCTTCAATACCCCTTTTCCATCACAATCACAAAACAAGGATTGCTCTGACAATCCGTAATATCACCACCTCCAAAATGCCCGGATTTACCGCCGCCAACACCACCTACACACTCAACAATGGAGTGAGAATCCCCGCCGTCGGATTCGGCACCTTTGCCAACGAGGGTGCCAAGGGCGAGACCTATGCCGCCGTCAAGAAGGCCCTCGAGGTTGGGTACCGTCACCTAGACTGCGCGTGGTTCTACCAGAACGAGGACGAGGTCGGCCAGGCGCTTGCTGAGTTCCTTGAGAACAACAAGGACGTCAAGCGCGAGGACATCTTCATCTGCACCAAGGTCTGGAACCACCTGCACGAGCCCGAGGATGTCAAGTGGAGCTTGCAGGACTCTCTCGACAAGCTCAAGGTTGACTACGTCGACCTCTTCCTCGTCCACTGGCCCATTGCCGTCGAGAAGGACGAGAACAACATGCCCAAGATTGGCCCCGATGGCAAGTACATCGTCAAGAAGGAGCTCACCGAGAACCCCGAGCCAACATGGCGGGCCATGGAGGATCTCGTGGATGCCGGCAAGACGCGGTCGATCGGTGTTTCAAACTGGACGATCCCCGGCCTGCAGAAGCTCCTCAAGTTCGCTCGCATCAAGCCGACCGTCAACCAGATTGAGATCCACCCCTTCCTCCCCAACACCGAGCTCGTCGAGTTCTGCTTCAAGAACCAGATCATCCCTACTGCCTACTCTCCCCTCGGCTCGCAGAACCAGGTCCCATCGACGGGCGAGCGTGTCCGTGATGATCCCCTTCTCAAGGCTGTTGCCGAGCGCAGCGGGCACAACCTCGCCCAGATTCTCCTCGCCTGGGGTCTTCGCAGAGGCTACGTTGTGCTCCCCAAGAGCTCGACCCCCTCGCGTATCGAGAGCAACTTCCAGATTCCTGTCCTCCGCGACGAGGACTTTAAGGCCATCCAGGAGGTCGCCAAGGGCCGCCACTGCCGCTTCGTCAACATGAAGGACACCTTTGGCTACGATGTCTGGCCCGAGGAGTCGGACGGCCAGCTCAAGCAGGAGTAATTGTTTGGTTGCGTGGAGTTTTGTCGACATGATTTAATGACTGGGACGCGGGCGTGTCAACGGAGACGGAACGATAGAGCGGTTGGATACCAAAATTCCTTTGTATTGGATATCTTGTTATGATAGACATCACCTGGTAGATGGGCTGAGCAAGCGGATGGATTAGTTACCCTTCTCATGTGTGGAATTGGAGCCATTTACATACGAGTATCAACCCTAAGATTGTGTTCTGTTGTGATTTGTGACCTTGTTGTTCATGTTCAACCTCCCGACGTCGAGTCGTCCGAGTCTCCTCGCCTCTTCCGTTCCCCGCAATCTCGAGTCAAACGAAGTAAAAATCTTGACTCTGAGTCCTGCAGCACAACCCGGGACCGACGTTGGCGGACCTTCCCGTCCCGCCGGATGCTCTTACCTGTTTGATCGTCACCACAGACCTTCTCTTTCCGTTTACAACCGCCAACCTTCGAGTGGAGGAGCGCAGTTTCCATATTCGCAATTGAGATCAATGATTGGCATTTCACGTTTCAGATCCTGCGCGTCATTTCCACCATCATCAAACTTGCTCATCACAGAAGCAACGACGCGTCAAGCCGATCCATGATACAATGGATCCCATGCCGAGAGAAGTCGATGTCGACAGAGCTTCACATGAAAAATGTCATCCGCGTCCAATGCTCAACACACCTCCTCTATTTTGGTGGAAGCTGCTTGTTCGGCGACCTCACGGCGATATTGACAAATTGCGTCCTGATATTCGGATCGAATATTCCCATCTGTTCGGTTGATATCTGAAGAAGGATCACCTCCTTACTGTGGTTTGTTAGACATCGATGAGCACTTTGAAGTGAAACAATGCTTCAATTAGATCATCTTGTACCTTGTAATCCTATATATCAAACCATCTTAACCAACTACGCAGGAAAGCACAAAATCGGTGGAATTCTCCCCAGCCAACTCAAACCTCACCTCCATCATCCCTTCCTCTCCATCTATCCCATCCCCTCTCCAGCTTTTTCCACCCTACACTCAACAACCCGAACACCTACTCTACACTCCCTCGTACCCGGGCCTCAGTGCCCTCACCCTCCCATGGCCCCCAACCTTCACCCAAACCCACCAACGCGCCTACCAACACCCCTCCCCTGTTACGATCCAATAAGGGATCACTTATGTAAGCAGCTAGATAGACCAATCAGGAGCGCCGCAGAGCCGCAACCGTAATAGCGGCGCAGCGGCGCCCTTCTGAAGGTCGGTATATAAGACGGCCTCCCCAGGCCTCTTATATTACGGCTCTTCAGCAAGCAATAGCTTCTACAATCAATCAGTACCTTTCGGCTACTACTACCGTTGTTCTACCTATCCCAGCGATATACTCCTGTGCTTGTAACGGTTCGTCACATCCCCCTACCTCCACGGCTTCAAACATCCACAGCACACATCACAAGCCATCACCGGCCAACTCGACATCCAGACCTGCCTTTCCGGAACCTTGCCGTTCTTATCCAAGATTCCTTGGGGCCCTTGGTGAGCTGGGTTTTGTGGGTCAACGATCTGATTGAGAAAGACCTCGAGAGCGGGGAGCTTGTCTCGGGCGTCGGAGCAGGGCCAGCAGAGGGGGTTGTGGCGGAGGCAGAATTCGGTGAGGGGGCGGTAGGTTTTTGGGGGTGGGATGGATGGCGGTGGAGGACGGGACTCGCGGGAGGTGTTGAGGGTGGTGATGTTGGTGAGGTCGGCGATGGTTGGACGGTTGTTTAGCCATGCTTCTCGATCGAACGAGTGATGTAGCCTGAAGAATCAGGTTGAGAGATAGCAGTACGTCAATGGAAGAGAAAGGAAACCACAATTCGACGGAACATTGCAACTCTATGGATGGGTACTCGTGACTATTCTATTCCATTCCTACTCTATTTGATCACCATCCAACCACTTTCCCTTCCTCCCTCCCCGGGGTTATCCATCCTTGGTTGCATTCGCCATCTTATGCTCTTCCAGCGCGTCGGCCAAAGCCCGCGCAGACCCCTTTGTAATGAGCCTCCAAGTCTCCAAGCCCTCGCCGTCATCCGTCGCGACTGTTATCATGACGGATTTGGGGCCACATGGTTCCTCCCTGTAAGTATAATCAGAGTCCAGACGCTGATCAAGTACAAGAGTAGCCCGAGGCTCAGCATGAAGCTGAAGGCGCACCTCGCCGGTCGTATTGTTCTTGACCAGACGCAAGAACCCCATACACTGCGTCTTCCATGGCAGCCTTCTTTGCTTTGAGCCCTCGTCATTGCTGTCGTCGTCATTCGCGTCATATTTATCCGCCTTAGCACGAACCTCAAAGACAACAGAGCCGCTATCTTCTCCCGGGCCGCCATCGACTAACGAGAGTTGGACCTGTGGCGCCTGAGACAGGTGTTGTTCGTTCGAGCTGGGTTGAACTAATGGAGAGAGCTGTTCCGCAATGTCGTTGAAGACTTCCTGAGCGGAGACAACATAGGCAATCCTTGATGTGGTGCTGCCCGCAACGATATGGCCGTAGAAGGCCTTGGTCGTGGCATCAAATATACAGGATCCTGAGTCACCGGGTTGGAGAGGTGAGCCGAGAGATAGGGGCCAGACTCGCTGGAACGAACGGGTACCCTTGATGCAAATGAAGGATGAGCAACCCCATAGAATTCCGTTGACAGAGCCTCCAGAAGATGTGCTGGTTTGTACATGGGTGTTGACGTGAGGCATTGGAGATGCGTCCCTGCGCATGATTGTTGGAAGCCCAAGGATCCTCGAGACAGATACCGATGGCTCCACGGGTACCAGCATATAGTCAAGGTCCGGTGACCCCATGACGTTGCCGGCGTCAACACTGAGAGAAAGAGACATGGGCTCTCCATGTGTTGGTCTGAGGTGCAGTCGATCCAGTACCCTTCGGGCGTTCTTCTGCTCATTCAGTTCCCGGACACGCCCGTCCACGGCATTGAGGATAACCTCAGATGCCTGGTATTGAGTTGGTTGGGCGTCGCCATGGATAGACTGACTGCGTTCACTGTCGCTGGAGTCTGAGGTATCGCTATTGCCAGAAGTGGTGATTCCGCCGTCAGTAGCGTCCGTTGAAGAGCTTTCAAACCCTCCGAATTCGAACTCGTCGTCTGACATGTCAGCGAGCTCAGTGTCCTCAAAATCAGTTTCGCTACCGTCAGTGCGACTATCAGCGTCAACTTCGACGTTGCCGTCCGTGCTGTCATCGGTGTTGCCGTTAGGTTCACTGTCGGGGTCACTGTCAGTGTTGCTGTTGGTGTTATCGTCGGTGCTGCTGTCAGCGTAGGCGACATTGTCGAGGAAAGTATCCATGACAGCCTGGTCATCAGAAGCCTCCGGCGGAGGAAGAACGTGAGCCACAGTGAGCAGAAACGGTCTCTGTGAAATGTATATCACTCCGCCGGTGGTAGCTGAAAGGGGCACTGCAGACGGATCGCGTGGCCGACGGAACTGGACCCGACAAGATGCAGGAAAGCTATGGGCGTCGTCCAGAGCTGTCACTTCAGCTGTCCATAGATCCTTGGTGGATTCGACCGAATCGTCTTCACTGTCGCTGTCACTGTCGCCATCAATGTCGGCATCACAATCGACTTTTGCCAAGAACTCGGGATTGTCAATGTGAGGTGGATTTCGCCAGTGACCAGTGTGAAACCCAGGTGCGTAGGTGTCGATGATGTCGCTTTCCCTCAACTCTTGTAGCGCTTGCTTCCTTGGGCCGGGTAGAGTACAAGCAAACATGATGTGCGGGACGGAGGTCTCGGGCGTGGTGCCGATCATGAATATGCCGTAGCCGATAACCCCGTTCTTTGGCACCGGAGGGCATGTTGTACGCAGGAGCTCGTTGATCTTGGGCGATATTTCGACGAACAGCTTCTGCACTCTGCCAGTAGCGTCCCAGCACTTGTACTTCTTCATCATCCCGCAAAAGGTTCCGACTGATGCTTCGGGATTTGGCCATTTTGGTCTGGGGAAGCCGCCAGTGAGCGCCGAAAGAGATCTGGCTATGCGTCCAGGAGTTTGTTCCATGGCCGCGGAATCGGCAGTTTGGAGAAGACGGGTTGTTGACGGCGCAGAGTCACAAGGCAAAGCTTGTGAGCCTCACGGAAAGATGGGTACGTTTTGAGAAGAGAATCGGGCAGTGAGGACAGAAGCTAGAGGGGCGTAACACAATGGTCTTGTGCATTGGCTTGAGGAACTCGAGGATCACGAGAAAAATAGGGATGTAAAAGCTCGGGCAGCATGTGAAGACAAATTGTTCAAATGACGAGCAGTGTCTAGCATGCCCCTGCGGCGCACAGCCACCCGTTCTGGTGATGTTCGGAGGATCGGAAGTGTTATTGGGTAGGCAACAACGCTAGTTGCCTCAATCCAGGAGTAGTCGCGTCTTCATGCAGGCTGGGAAGAGGCCTCTTGATTGTTTGTTGCCTTGGGCTGACAGCTGAAGCGGACGAGTACATACAAGGCTCACCAGTGTAGTGCCATGGCGGGCAACCATTTGTCACTCCCAACTTTGACAATGTGATAGAGCACATAATGGAGCTAAGAGACGATATTTAAGCAAGGCAGAAACCGTGGCTGAATTCGGTCAAGGGGCTGGATGCACCACGGCGGCCTGCACCCCCGGCACAAACATGGACCGAGTGGACGATACAAATTTCCGTGCCGAACCCTAAAATCCAGTGACAAGACGTTATGGTTGGAAATCGAACCCGTAGCCACCAGCGCCGCGAAAGTCAACTACCATGCCGCTGTCGTGCTCAATATGCAAACCAGTGGGTGTGAAGTCGAGCCAGGAGTTAATCGTTGAACACTTGTGGAACTGCCCCCAACTCGTCCGCCCAGCCAACCGAAAAGCGCAACCTGACTACACTCCTTACTTTGGCTTCTATACGCACCAATGCCGGATTGCTTTGCAAGCATCGCCGCGCCTGGGGACTCGTTCGCATCAAGATGTGCTCGACTTGGCCCACAAAATCACCGCCGACGAACCAAGGGAGAAGCTCGAGGACGCTTTGAGTTCGATGGAAGAGAAGAGTGAGGGGATTCAGGAGGAAGAAAGACTCGAGAAAGCAGCTGCATCCATCGACCTGGTCGTACGGTTGATGTTGATGATCGAAGTGGGCGAACTGAAGAACACCTTCTCCGGTCGACAGCCACTTGTCTGGACCAAAGGCACAGTCGACGATTTTGTGCACGAACTCTTCGAACCCCAAACATCGCAGAACCTGGAACGGGGAAAGTTTGGCCGACTGTTCACAGCTCAAAATCTGGCCCTCATTGCTGGTTTTCGGGTCGAGCTGACGACCAACTTGGCCGATCATCTTCTGTTCCGGGACAGCGACAAGACTGTCATGATATTCCACCATGCCACGTTCCTTAGCCATCAACTCGGGTATGTGTAACATTTAGGCTGTGTACGGTATTCCAGTAGTGCAGTAGAGGAAGCCCGGTTTTAGTGGCACCCGACTCTTACAGCCACCAAAACCGCGCTTCCCTACTGCACCACCTCCTGGAGTACCGAACACAGCTCAGCTTCACTCGTCCAAGCACTTGCTAGGATACCGTCGTATGTTGCTGACAGTCCGTTCCCCAGAAACACAATCTTCCCACCGGACTTCGTCTCAGAAACTCTCGACACACTTGCGCTTCTCTTCCCCCAAAACGACGCGGCTTCGCGGAAGTGGTACCGTAAACAAGGGGAGCGGAGCGAGCTCGACATGGCGGTGCTCAATTGCGGATCGAGGCATCGGAGGACTCGGCTCGAGGAATACCATTACTGGCACGATCGGTTGTTGATTCTCAAGGAGGAATTCGACGAGGCGAGGCCGACGACGATTGCGCAGTGGTGGAATGATCGGCGGGACGGCATTCAGTGGTACAGTCTTTGGATCGTCATGGGTCTGACATTGTTCTTCGGGCTGGTCCAGAGCATAGAGGGAGCCGTTCAGGTGTATCAGGGGATGAAGTCGTCGGGCGGATGAAGTTCGGTGTTGGCGTTGGTGATGGTGATGGGTTGACGTTGAAGGAATTGGAAGACGTCAGAAAATTGAGAGACGTCAAACGCAGGCACCGCGGGTCGGTTCCCCGCATCCGATGGCGGGGTTGGTGGGGTATGCAGCCCTGTCAAGCTCGCCTACAGGAGCTACAGCGGGGATAGGGTACGTACCGCTGCAAGCTACAGGGCTCATGCAAGAAGCATCACATCATCGATGCATCATCAGTCTGCATCCAATATCATACATATCAACGCACATCTGCAAACGCCCGCTCTCGCCTAAAACATGTACTCTATCTAAACGACAACAAGTCATGATCATCACCAGTCATGGTCCATCTCGCTGAAACGACTAACCCATGGGGCGGTCACTCCTGGGTGACCGACAGTCCAACCGGCCTCCCCCCAACCCGGAGCGTGTGCAATAAGCTCTTCCACTCCTCCCTCTTCGACATCGGCATCTTCCGCGACACCCTCCTCCCCTCCTTAACCCTGCACTCCGGCCTCGCCTTGATCGCCTACGGCGCCGGCCGCCTCACCGACCGTCTCGAGACCAAAGACTGGCTGTGGCCGTCCGGCCAGGTCCTCAACGCGTGGTGGTCCGCCCTCGGCAAGCGGGTCATCTGCGACGGCATCCCGTTGAGATGCGCGTGGGCCATCATCAACCGCCAGGAGCGCCTGCTGCTCACGGGCGTTACGCTCTGGGGCAGCCGGCTGTTCTGGCGCATTGCGAACCGGTCTGTTAAGAGAGGCAGCGATGATCCGCGGTATGAGGCGACCAAGAAGCAGCATGGATGGTCGTGGAATAAGGCGCTGTTTACTACGTATCTGCCCGAGGCGGTGTTCCAGAGCTTGATCACGCTGCCGTTTACTGCGCCGTTCCGGCACTTGTCTGGGTCGGATCAGCCGTTTGCGGCGCCGTCGGGCGGGTATGCGGCGGTGGGACAGGCGGTAGCGGTGGGATTGTTTAGTATGGGATTTGCGCTCGAGGTGCTGGCGGATTGGCAGCTTGAGAAGTTCAAGGAGAAGGAGAAGAGCGGCGAGGAGAGCCATTCGAGTATGTGCCGGGAGGGAGTTTGGAGCATTGTTAGACATCCAAAGTGAGTCCCGACCCGTACCCCTTTTTCGTGTGTAACAATAACGGGAGCTTTTTTTGCTAACAACGTTTCACAGCTACCTCGGCGACATGCTAGTCCACCTCTCCTTCCCGCTCCTCCTCTGGGCCAACAACGCCCTCCTGCCCATCCACCTCCTCGGCCCGCTGACCAACTACATCTTCCTCCGCTACGTGTCGGGTGACAAGGAGAACGAGCACTGCCAGGCTCGCCGCTACAGTACCGAGAACGTGAACAAGAAGATCGACTTTGACAAGTACCGTCGCGAGGAGAACGCCTTCTGGCCTGACAAGTGCCAGGTGTCCAATAAGTGGACCTGGATCGTTGTGGGCGCTGGTGTGGCCGGTGCTCTGTTGGAGGGACTGGTTACGCATGTGATCGCGTGACTCGCCATAGGCTGGAAAGCTGTTGGAATGAGCTGGAAAGCCGTGGAGATGGGATTGAGTATTAGCTCTGAGCTGGGGTTTAACGAGGCCATGGTGTTGGCGAGGGAGGGACAGGATGTGGCAAAATTGTTTGCTGGGAGTGGTGTTGAGTTGACGGATTTCTTTGCGTGATTCGTGCCGCGATCGGGTTTCTGCTGGAAAGTGTTGTAGGATATTGTAGGATATGGTGTGTAGAATATGGAATCTGGGGGGAAGAGGCGATACCTCGCTTGATAGGATGTGATTTGGATGGATCTGATAGTCTTAGTTGGAAGATTTGGATAATGTAGTTATTTGAATGACCAAAAACGAAGCATTTTTCCAAGAGCTACACTCCACACACGCCCAAAAACCCCCCAGGTACACCCATTTTCCGAGGTGCCAGAAGGCAAAGGAACCACACTCGCGCTTTTACCTCCAAAGCAACCCATAATGCAATTCTCTTAACCCTACTCTAAGCCCCTATTACTTTTTTTCCCTTCCTTAGTCGCATTTCGTAGTCCGACTCAAAGAAGGATGGTAAGTATCGAAGACGAAATACACCGTCTAGTACGCTTCCTCAATCAGACTAAACGAGTTAGAATAACGTCATACCGGCTTCGAGAATAGACGGAAAAGGGTATATCGAAGACAAAAGCCAATGCAAATGGAAGTACGGAATCTTTTTTCTTAAGTGTCTTAAGGGGGTGTACTTGAAGGGCGTATCTGGGGATTTTTTTGGGCGTGCGTGGAGTGTAGCTCTTTTTCAACCCCTCGTCCATCAACTGGTTCCGTTGCTGATGACAGGCCTTGACAGACCGGGCGACGGAATTGGAACGGAGAAAGCTTTACGCCATCAGTGTCTTCAGCTGCCGCTGAACATCTTCCATGTCATGCTTCCCTCTGTCGAAATCAGACCGTTGAGCATCGAACAAGAAGTCCCCGTGAGCGGCTCGGGACTCATCCATGGTCATCAACATCACTAGCAATGGTGAAATGGTAACCGTTATCGAACGTTTGTTCAATGTCCTTGTATTCGGACACTCTGTGTAATTGATGCTAACTGTTCTAATATCGCGACTCAAATATTTTGACGCCTTTCCAGCAGTGCGTGATATTTCCACACTCTATCCTTTATCCACGTATATGTACGACACAGTTTCTCAAGGCTTGTCTTCGCCGAGCCTGTGCGTACGACAGTTTCTCAAGGCTTGTCTTCGCCGAGCCTGTGCGTACGACAGTTTCTCAAGGCTTGTTCTCGCCGAGCCTGTGCGTACGACAGTTTCTCAAGGCTTGTTCTCGCCGAGCCTGTGCGTACGACAGTTTCTCAAGGCTTGTCTTCGCCTAGCCTGTGCGTACGACAGTTTCTCAAGGCTTGTTTCCGCCCGAGCCAATTTGTCTCGTACCAAGTCGCCTTGTTTTCGGCTTCTTGCTTGTCATCAACCATAACCATAACTTCATGACTTCATAACGCCATAACTCCTCGCTCGCTTTCAGACCTAAAGCTTCAACCCTCAAACAAAGGCCGACAAAAATCAACGAGCTGAAACAAACAACACACTCTCCAAGGTGATCGAGGAGGGAAGGAGAACAGGAGAAAGCAAGATCAAAGCTCCTCCTCCATCTCTTTCTCCATCTTCTCCTTCTCCTCTTTTCCACCCCCGGCCTTGTGAACCAAGCTCCGGATCAAAGTCCTGTTGTGTTTCACAGCCCATTCATCGTTGACAGGTGTGTTCTTTCTGTCCGGAACCACTATTTCGCTGTTAGCAATCATTCAAGGTGGAACAAAAGAAGAATAGACTCACCCCTCTTACAACAATTCTTCCATATATGTTCTTCACTAACAAGTTCCCCTTGTAATCCGCATGTTTTGATGTGGTCCATTGCTCGGCGCTTCTTGAAGGGGTGCCGGCAAAAGACCCCTTTGATGCTTGCTGGGGCGTTGTGGGTGGAGTTGGAATGGGACATGCAATTTTGGTCGAGCGGACAGCGGAGAACGTAATAGGCGTTTTGTTCTTCGTCGCCTGTGTCGGTAGTGGTGCGTTTGCGCTTGTTCGCGCTGGAGTGGGAGCTGGATGCGGTAGTGATGGTGGTGCTAGGGTCGGTAGTGGAGGCGGCGGCGGTAGTGACTTTGCCCTTCTTGGATTTGGACGTGAGAGTAAAATTACTGTCCTTGCTGTCATCTGTCTCGCTGCCGCTGTCGCAATCATCGCTGTCTTGGCCCAGGGCCAACTCGTCTTCGGAGTTGTCGTCGCTATTGTTGTCATTGCCATTGTTGATGGCCGTGGCGGTCTTGCTGCTACTGGCCATGCTGCTGCTGCCTTCGCCGTTTTCTCCGCCATTGTCGTTGGCACTGCTAAACACCGTCGCCTTCCCCTTTTCTTTGGCCTTGCTCTTGTTGTTGCCCTTGGGATTTGTTAACTCCGCCCTGATGCGACCGCTTTTTATGAACATGGAGGAATCAAGCTTGAAAACCCAGTATTTTTCCTTGACGACCTGCGAGCGCTTGATTATTCTGGGCTTGGTGATTTTGTGGGTGTTGTTGTTGGTATTGTTGGATTTGTCGACCGCTTTGCCCTTGCCTTTGATGTCCTTCTTATTGGCAGGAGTCTTGATCTTGATCTTGCGGGCTCTGGGCTGCAAGTTGATGGTGCTCTTATCGGCATCGTTTGCCGTAGTCTCCTGGTTGGTCTCTTCTTTGGTGACCGCGGTAGTGGCGGTGTTGTCGATGGCAGCGCTGATGACAGCGCCGGTGGTAGTGCTGGTGGGGATGTTGGTGGAAGGGTTAATCGGCTCGGTGTCCCTGGTGGTTTCCGTGGTGGCGCTGGTAGTGGCGATGGACGGTTCAGCGATGCTCGAGGTGGAAGCAGACACAGTATAGGGAGCCACGACGGGCGCGGGAGCAGAGGTATAGGAGGGGCCGGCAACCGTAACGGCGGCGGCGGCGGCGGCGGCGGCGGCGGTGTTGACACTCCTGCCGTTCTTTGTAGCATCGACGGAAGCGTTGGGCGGTCCGGCATCGACAGAGGTGGAAGGAGGAATAGAGGCAGAGGATGGGCCGGCGATAGCGGTGGCGGCATTGGCGCTCCTGTCGCTATTTGTAACGTTGGTGGTCGAGTTGGACGGTCCGTCAATGTTGGAGGCGGAAGTGGGAGCAGAGGCAGACGAGGGACCAGCGACAGGGGCGGTTCTGGACTCGGTAGTGGTGGTAGGAGGATCAACGGCTTTGCCTTTCCCTTTGTCGCGCTTGGACGGCTGTGTGCCAGTGTTCGACTGCTCGGCTAGCGGGGAAGTTGAGAGGGCGCTGCTGTGGCCGGCACGGTGCAGGTTGGCGAAGTATGGAAGGTGGCGAAGAGATTCGGGGATGTAGGATGGACCTGCCTCCTCTGGCTCTGACTCCAGATCGGTACCTTCCTCATCATCTGGCTCATCACCCTGCTCTTGATTCTGCTCTTGATTCTGCTGACTTTCCTCCCATGCCAGCTTCTGCACGGAGTCTGGCTCCCAGTAAAGGGGATGGGGATGATCTCGAGTGACTGGTCTGTTTTCCCAAGCCGGAGAACGATTGAAGGGAGGGTAAGGGGGAGGGCCAGCTGGGCCGTACGATGTACGTGCTTCTAGCAGTCTTTCCCTCCACTCAGAATGCCACTCATGCGTGGGTCCCGGCGTGACCTCCAACCTCAATCCCGTTTCACCGTCGGTCCAGTGGTCGGGAGAATCGCACATCCCAAAAGGTTTCCATTCAAAAAGAACGGAAAGCCCTTGCGCTCGGTTAGCCATGTTATGGACTGTGCTGAGTTCCTCCAGAATGGCATCCTGCTCCGCCTTGCACTGCCTGATCTCTTTCTTTGTCGCTTCGAACTTTCTAAGCGCCCGCATCATGTACTTTTCGAGCTTGTTATCGAGCTTGTGATACACCGCCTTCAGATCATCAAGCTTCTCCTTGGTGGCATGAAATATGTGAAATTCTTGGGGGGTGAGATCGCTCTTGTCTTCCACCCTGTCCCACTGCCTCTTCGTGAACCACTGCATCTTCAGATGGGTGTCGGATATACTGGTGTAACAAGCTTGTCGCAAGGTCTGATGAAGTGGAGGATACTTGGTGGAAGTGAACGAACGTCGTGGTGTAAGGTAGTTGAGTGCAGGACAGCTTCGATTGCTGGGAGGCTAAGGCTTTTGTTGTTGAGAGGAAAGGTACCTTCTGCAGAGTAGAGTTTGGAGGACTGAAATTAGAAGCAGAAAGGAAAATGAGAGGTAAAGCCCCGGTTCAAGGGAGCGGAATTTATCGTTGTGTGGACGCACTGACCCTCCAGAAATCCAGGATGTTTCCTATTGTCACTTTAAGGCCGAATGGGATGAGAAATCTATTGAGATGCCCTTCACCTCCTACCATTGTGGACCCCAAGATGTTGCCGACTTATTGTCCGAACCGGTTCCTGGTATTGTTTGTCATCCACACGGTGCTTACAGGGAACACTTGAATACCAAAGGACCATGTATTCCGTCCCTATGTGTCCATACCGATACGACATGGAGGTGAATCAACCCATCCACTGCAGTGGGCGTCAAGGTGGAAATATCCATTCACCACCAACCGCTTTCCTCTTCGTGTCTACGCAACAAGGACCTCTCGGCTTGTTGTACAGTCCTTGTTGTCCTCCGTTTTCTTGCAGCGCGTGTCCTTCACGGCAATGACCAATGTATCTAGAGGTACCTTACATAGTAAGCCAGTCATATCTTCGTGCTATGCTGTCCTGGCGCCATCGTTCCCATTTGTTGTCTATGCCACAAAAGTTATTCTGGGCATCATTGCGACCCCCATATTCCATGGCCCACTCATTCCTCTGTTTCTATGTCATCTCATGTCACAAATCTATTCAATTTTTGCCGGCCGGTTTCAACGAAATTCACCTGGTAATTTCTCTCTGCTAATGACTGACTGGCACCTGTCCGGCATCTGATACTAGTATTCAGTCTCAACTCGACAGCACAGTGAAGCCACCTCGACGCCTAGGACGTTCCCTTCACCATTCATTTGTTGAAGCCCCACAAAGCTTTGACCTTCCTTCAGTTCTATTTGAGTGGACGTCACCTCCATTTCCCTCGTTCTCACTTTTTGAACTCCTCGATCTCTCCAATCTCAACCTCTCCCGCATTCCGAGGATTGCCTCTACTTGTGGCACTTGCATCGGGACTCTCTCTCGCGACATTCATTCCGTTCCGTTCCGGCGTCTCCCTGCCAGGAGTCACTAGATATGCGGAGGACAAGAGGACAACAAGCTGCCGCCGCTGCTGCCACCGCTGCTGTGGCGCAAACCAGCAACGGCAAAGGTGAAAAGGCGGCTAGAAGTAAGCCATCCACTACAGTTGCTACGAACAATGCTCCGGTCATGTAAGTTTCTCCCTAACAACGTGCAAGCAAATGATGATCATTCAAGGTGCCATACATGCACGCAGTGACCTGACCGTTGTCTCTTCGCCGCGTCACAGTCAAGATGCCCTCTTGGGCATCGACTTGGGAAGCTCCGGCATTCGCGCCTGCCTGATGCCCCCGAACGCGCCTGAGAAACTCCTGATGATCCACAACTCAGTCTATGGAAATGATAGTTTCACCTTCCCGGCAAACGGACGCGTGTTTGGCCCCGTCAGGCCAGCTGAGATCTACCTCAGCAAAGTTGACCATGACGGCCATGAAGTGGTGGCACTGAAATACGCCTTTTACATCCTGGCCGGCGCCTCGGACACCCTGACTGGAGAGTACCCCCTGATCGACAAACTCAAAGCCGAAGCCATACGCAAGCCCAAAGAGTTCCGGGCAAGGCTACGCTTGGGCCTCTTGCAGATGTTTCGGTACGTCATCCTCAAAGTGCACGACTCGATCGCGGCTGGAAGGCATCCTTGGAGGATTGGAAAGGCGTGCATCACCATCCCGTCGCAGTGGGATCTGGACTTCGAAGCGCAGTACTCCGCGATTCTCGGTGAAGCCCTCAACTGGAGCCAGGATTATGCGCGCGATCGAATGATGTTCTTTTACGAACCAGAGGGTCTTGCCCACTTCCTCCTTCACACCCAACTGTACATGAACGACGCAATCGCAAAAAGTCAAGCCCATGAACATCGCCCTTGTTTGGTTCTTGACTTTGGAGGCCATAGCATGGTAAGTTATGAGACACTGGAACCATGAAAACCATTCATAACATCTTGTCGCTAACCTGTTGCTGAGTAGAATGGCTGCTTGTATTACATCAACTCAAAGCGGGGCGATACACTCAACTTCTATGCCATGGAAGACGCGTTCGGTATGCTAGAATCTTTCACCCCGCTTGTCATACTTACCTGGGACCAAGGAGCCTTCTAACCTACTTTTCATTACTAGGAGTCGGCAGTGGCGGCGAGCAGTTTGCTGACAGGCTAGTCAAAGCTTGTGATGAAGTCTGGCTGAAAACCTCAAGGACGCCTCTGCGGCCGGAGGCCAAGGTGCAGATTCGCGAAACGATCAAGAAGTATTTCGCCTATTGGGGCCCTGGAAAGACGACTGGGGAGCAGAAGTTTTTTTTCTGTGACGACAATGATGATTCAGGCGTCATCAGGCTTTCAGAGGAGGCTATCGACGAGTGTTGGGCTGGTGCTTACAAGCCCGCTCTTGATCTCGTTGAGAATAAGGTCGAGTACTTGAAGCAAGCATATAAGAGCGGAAAATTCGAAAACAAGCCTCTTGTGGTCGCTGCTGGCGGAAGTCTCCTGAACGAAGCCTTGAATGAGGCCGTGGAGGCCATGGTCAAGGCCGCAGGCTTGGGCCCAATCTTGAAGGTCACCAAGCAAGGTGTTTCCCACGAGTAAGTTTTCTCAATCCATGGAAATTAGCACTCAGTTAGCTAACCACGCCAATACTGGTAGTGCTCAGCGTAATATCGTTGGCATTCTCCACTCGGTGGCAAAGGCGCTAACTGTCCTTCAGTTTCTGCGTCAAGGTGCAGGAATTGCCATGCAAATGAGGCAGGCACAGGCTGACGACTGGGACGATAGAGGGGCCCCGTTCTGGTACTACGTGAGTTATTGCTTCCAGTTCTCAATTCAAATGCATCCTGGGGATAAACTAACACAGCGCGTAGTGGGTGGAGGGCAAGCAGGAGATCCGGCCGCAGTGCAAAATCAGGGTTCAGGCCGGTGATCGGTTCAGGCTGATCATGAACCCGTTCTATGGCCAGGACGTGAAACGCTTCGGCAAACTCCCGCAAATCTTTGTGGCAAGGGCCTACAACTTCCTCCGGAAGTTTCCCATCATGCCCAGGAGCGGTTTGGTTGAGTGTTTCGTGCAATGGGTCGGCGAAGGAAACGAGGTGGTGATGCACCTCGAGATTGTCCTCACACCCGAGGAGGAGGAGGAGGAGGAGGACACAGACAGCCGCATCAGATGGAGGTACAAACTTCCTCTGTTCTTCGACTGCGGTACCAGGTGCATGATGCCTGGTAAGAGGAGCACTCGTCTTGAGGACGTCGTCCCTGATCTCTTCACGGACGCAGACGGAGATACCAGCATGGATGATTAGGTCGATGGCACCTGCAAGAGATCGTGATCATCATGGGATGGGAGTAAGTTTGGTCTGGTAGTCCACTGAATCGAGGGGCTAGACTTCACGTACGGTACCTGTGTGACGAATCGTTACAAGCACAGGAGTATATCGCTGGGAATAAGAACAACGGTAGTAGTAGCCAAAAGGTACTGATCGATTGTGAAAGCTATTGCTTGCTGAAGAGCCGTAATATAAGAGGCCTGGGGAGGCCGTCTTATATACCGACCTTCAGAAGGGCGCCGCTGCGCCGCTATTACGGTTGCGGCTCTGCGGCGCTCCCGGAGCCGCCTCTACGGCACCGCTGCTGCGGCGCCGGTACTGCGGCGCGCTCCTGATTGGTCTATCTAGCTGCTTACATAAGTGATCCCTTATTGGATCGTAACAACCTGCATAGTGTGTGTATAGAGGTGACCAGCGAGAGCAGAAGTAGATAGCAACCCAATACTCCCCAGAATGCTGCCGGATGACTGCCAAAAGGTGAAGAAAATGTCGGAGAGTAAGCAAATCACCTAAGAAACGTCCGCTGAAGCAGTTGGAAGACATATGAATGTCATGATCACATGGCAAAACGGTTCACTCTGCGCCCCTAATTATCTCAGAAACTCAGACCTCTTTGCCAGTCGGGGCACTTGTGCGCCAAATGACTTGAAAAATGACAAGAACCTCAACTTGGCAAGAGCTCCTGCGGACTGAAAATGATGATTAATCTCCACAGCAGGCACCCAGGCATCTAGTAGCCCAGGGCAGGTACGACCCCTCATCAGACATTGCAAGCAAAACAGGCAAGTGGTTCGCGAAATAGAGAAATACAGTAACGACCGACACTTAACATACGTAACATATGTTCTGTTCTGTCCCTCAAGGTGAACGTTTTGTACCTCTACCCTCCTTGGACCTTGATGGAAGTATGGCTGCGTTTGTTCTCGTACGGTTTTCGTACAGCGCTTGGAATAACTCAACTTACTCAACCAACTCGACTCAACTCAACCCAACTAAACTCAATTCGAGACTCCCAAGGCGAGTTACAACTCAACTCAGAACAGTTAGTGAATTGGCCGCCTTTTTGAGTATAAAAAAGGTCATATGAGGCCTTTTGTACGAAAACCGTACCAGAACAAACGCAGTCTATAAGCCAAAAACAACATCACCGTTCGAAACTTTGTACGGCCAGGCTTTCAACGCTTGTCTCACTCACCTGGATCTTGTTTTCGTCATTGGGCGTATCCCAAACTTCTCATTAGCCAACTGCCTTGTTGCCGGCGGCGGCAGCGGTAGCGGTAGCTGTGGTTCCAACGGAAGCGGCAACATCAACAGAAGCAAACCAAAGTTGCACAACCAGGAACACGAATATGGACACTAGCAACTACCCCTTACCTGCAGAACGTAGCAAAATGACGGCACCGAAAGCAAGTACTTCGTCATCTATTTTCAAGCGGCCAAAAACAAGGTCTGTGTTTGTAAAAGTGGAGAATGTGTTGATGGAAACCTCGAAGCTTTGAGTCTCTAAGTTTGAGTTGAAATGGCTTGGGAGGAGTGTTATGTTTGTTTCACGGGACTGTTTGTGTTGGTATTAAGGAGTCACGAAATGAATCAAGGGAGAATGAGTCATCTCATGCTGCCGAAGGATGGATGCTTTTCACAAGAGGGATATATAGTAGGATCCCCAATGAGTTTTGTACGCAAAAGATATGGCAAAAAAGTCATAGATACCTACTAGTGACAAGGCTCCAGAGAAAAGACATAGATACGAAGGTGTGAAAAAGGTACCTTATATATGTTCAACAGGAGGGGCAGCAAGTAGCTGCACGCAACTACTACATCCTCCAATTTTCCCAGCATATAGATGTATTCTTCCGTACTCCAGGTTTCTCATGCCCTATATAAATTTCCAAGTCAAGTTCAACAATCCCTTTGGCGTCCCTTACGAACACCGCGTATATATCCACTGATCTATCTCCCACATTCTCTCCTTTTCCTCTTCCTTTGCCTTGAAAATACCTCTAGGTACTTCAATCTTGGCCGTCATCATTCCAACCTACCTACTCCGTCTTTCTCTTCATCCACAGCGTTTCTCTAGCTGTGGCGCTTTCAGGGTCAAGATCCCGTCATTTTGATCCTCACCAGAGAGAACGGCGGTGATGGTTACACCTTCTCAGCAAGCGGAGCTGTCATGGACAACGACACCCGCGACGAGGAAATCTACATCAACAATCTCGAACCTGATAGCCGTCTGGGTGTGCCCTTGAAATACGGGCTGTACATCCTTTCGGACGCTCCGAACTCCCTCGCCAAAGAATACCACCTCATGCAGGATCTGATTGCGGAAGACCGTCGCAACAGAGCAGAGTTCAGGAGGAAATTGCGCCTGGGTCTGGTGCAAATGTTCACCAAGCTCAAGGGAAAGGTGGAGCACATCATTGCAGGGAAGCGGAAACACTGGAAAGTACCTGTAGGTATGTCTTCGACCATTTCGACGACATTGACTCAGCGCAAATTCACAAGCAGAGTCTCGACGACGACGGTCGTCTGAGTGTGTCCCTCAAATATGCGTTCTACATCCTCTCAGATGCATCAAAGACTCTCAAAAAGGAGTATCCCCTCCTGCGAAGGATGATTGCGGAGGATAATCGCAACAGAGAGGTCTTCAGAAGAAAGTTGCGCTTGGGCCTTGTACAGATGTTCAAATGGCTCATTAGCAAGGTCGAGGAGACCATCGAGACCAAACGGGCGCGCTGGAAAGTGGGAAAACTGCGCGTCACCATTCCATTACAGTGGGACTTGAGGTTCGAGGAGCAATACCGTTCGATCCTAGCAGAATCCTTTTGCACGCTGCGCGAACGAGAACATGTAAAGGTATAACTAAACGAAGACACACAGCAGGAACCTCAAGTTAACACCAAATAACAGTGGTGTAAATTGAAGGACCGAGATTGTAGGTGAGATGTGATACACCGGGAAAGAGCTAACAAACTCCACCTAGCAGCCCTGGGTAGGAACGATCATGTGAAAAAGCAACAGTCAGTTATCGCAAAAATGAATTTAGGCAGTAACAAGACTCAATGAAACGATGAAACATACGCCAAACACTCTCCTCTGTCTGAACAGGACAGCACTCTGTATAATTCAACTAACTATCACGTCCAACTGCTTTCCTTTCATGTCCATATTCCCCATTCATATGTCCACTTCCTCAACTCTTTTGTGAGGATGAGAAGAATTTGCATATTCGGACTTGCTTTCTCATTCCGCACCGCTCGTCGCGAAACAACATCCCCACCTGCGCGCGCCGCCTTGACACTCAGGAGTTCGAGCCTTATTCCACCGAGACCGTACCGAGTCATCTACAATGTATATAAGGTACTGAATAATACATATTCCAGGCCCGAACTTGCAGGAAGAAAAGATCTTGCCGTTAGTTTACCAGCCTTCAACGAACACATAGCAAGCCCGGTCGTTGCTAACTAGGGAATGATATCCCACGACGTAAGAAACAACTTATCGGTATCGATTTGGGATGTTCCGGAAGCCGTATAACGGTAGTCTGTCCTATCCTGCGCCAATACGATGATCCCCACAACACCTTGGTCAGAGCTATCCCTCCTTCCAAAAGATTCAACAATACTCCGTGGGGTTGGCAAGACTTCCCTGCTCACGGTTATCCCTTCGACGATGATGCCCCGGCATATATGACCTCAGTGTCAGATGGCGCCAGTTTGAGCCCGTACCGCTGAAGTACGCATTTTACCTACTTGCTAAACAGCTGGACAAGGCCGCCCCACAACATCCGATGGCGCAAGAGCTCGCTATATATGACTCCCCCGAGTTTCGAAGCAAGCTTTACTCTGGTCTCGTAGCTTTGTTCAGGAGCATGCGCACAACAAAGGACGCTTATTTAGCCGAGCGCTTGGGACAGTCCTTTACCGACAGCCGTGCGAGCGAAGGACCACATGTGCGTCACTATACCGGCACAATGGAACTCTTCGTTCCGAGAAGTCTACCTTAACGTGCTTGCTGAAGCGTTCGACATCCATCGCGAGACGGTACATAAACACATTACGTTTGTCACCAAGTCTGACGCCTGGGCTCATCATTTTCGTGGCCCTCTACACAGCGGATTATTATCGCAATGATGCGATGAGTGAAGAGGTTGTCCTCATTCTATCTTTTGGGGGTCAAATGATGGTATGTTTAACTAGTAGGGGGCCTTCCTTCCCGCTCGGAGTCGTTACCGACACAGGTGGCAGAGTACATTTAGAGATTTCCAACGCGGGATGCGATCACTTCTGGGAATGTGCGTACCGCCATCCGCTCAAAGTTGCAGCCCAACAGTTCGCGCTTCTCAACAGAATCATGCGAGATCGTAAGGTTGCCGGAAGTGTGATAATTTCACGAGGATGCTTGGAGCATGATTATTACAATTCTCCTCTTCAGCTTCGCCTGCAACAACTCGCTGAAGATGCTGGTCTCCCACGACCTCATTTTGAGCGAGACATCCACGATCGTGAACAATCGTCAGCAACCAGGGGTGCAATTGCAACAGTAGAGTACCTCTACGCTCTGACTGCCAGACAGTTCATCACTCAGGATATCGGAATCGGCTTGCAAAGAAAGCTGCCCAATCCCAGGACAATACTCTGTATCTTTAAACAGTGTCACGGCCAACTGCTTCTGCTTCTTGTACATAATCCCCCTAGATCTGTCCACTCAATCAATCATTTTGTCTTAATTGGAACACTTTGTGTCAGCGTATTTGAACTGCAGTCGCCTTTGTTAACCAACATGAAGCCGGAAGTGCATTGAATGCCAAACCCAGCCCCATTTCTTCAAGGGCAGGACTTCCCGCACCTCCCCTCATGACTTCGGATACCAGCTTGAGACTTCGCGCACTTCTTATCACACTACTATGATAGCAGAATAGGACTAGATTCTCAGCACGCGGCGTTTTATATATTGATTGATGAGTTTAAAGTGGTCTACGAACAACGCAGTGTCAATACCAATACTAGTTTCCCCGGTCCGTGCAAGGAAAGCTATGATCAGATCGACAATTTTCCGCTGCTCAATACCTGTACTATATATGCCAGCCAGTACGAGTGCAAAACACCTGACTTTCAACAAGAATGGCTCTCAGGCTCTCCTCCTTTTAAACGCTTCTTAATAACGAAGAACTAGCCCAGCTTAACCAAGCTTCACGTCAGAGATCCATCCGGCGCGCGCTTCACTCAGTACCGTAGTGATGCACCATCTTAAGGTTATCATCCACGTGCTTGGAGCACCTCGGAAACAGACCCGGTAGAGCAAAGCAAGCATGGATCAGATCCCTCCATGCCCAAGGCATTTACGTACCTATCGAATCCAGGACCTTAACAATCGATGTTATAGCCGGAGATCATCTTCGGTTGGTCTGTGACCCTTTTCTTGGTCAAGATTTCAAGTTTGATGGCTGGAACAATGCGGTTCCCAGACCTACCTACAAGCGGACATACGATCTGCTGGACGATCTGCCCGTTCCCACCTCAAACGGCAAATTCGAATGCCAAATTGACTTTCGGAACAAGCATGTCGAAAGCGGTGGAATGATGATTCTCAAACTCAAGATCATCCCTGAGAAAGCGAAGGGTCAAGGCGCAAGTCCGCCCACTACCTGAAGCACTGGATGATGTCCATCTATTTCGACGTGGGAACCAGATGCTTCTTGCTCGGCGTGAGAGGAAAGACCCTCAAGGAAGCCGCCCCGGAGATCTTCAAGGACGATGACGGATTGGAGACATGCAAATGACGGGATAGTCAAGGTTTGGATGGGAAGTTTCACGGTTGAATCGTTCTGCTGGTAGTTTTTGAGGGTATTAGACGTTGTGTAAGCTAGCTTACATCTAGAGGTATTGAGCGTGAACAAGCTACCTCTAGACATGGTGAAAAATGTTGATATACAGCCTTCAAGGTCTCCAAAATGCCAACGAAGAGCTGTGAACAGTGGGAAAGTAAACAGATCATACACTGAAGCGAAATGGCACAATGTCACATAATCAAGTATACACGAAGAAACACCACTCAACGCACCCAACTGAATCTGCACGCTTCACAGTATATCTAGAAAGATAATGACTTCTTGATGGAGGACTTGGTGCACACTGTCCGCAGCCGGCAGCCAGCAAGGCGGGTATGGCCGCTTATCGGACACGGACCTTGTAGCAAACCGGCAGTGACTGCCATTTACTGACTCTGGCTTCACCGCTCGTGCCTTCCACGTTTTCTGCCGCGTCAAAACGCTTCCATTCTTTTCCCGTCTCTGCCGTCACTCACCACTAAAGAGCTATCGGGCGGCCTAATGTCCATGTTTTGGGGCAGGCAACTTTGGACCTTGAGGCGAATCAGCTCTATCCAGTCGGAACCTGACCTCCACAACCCCTAGGACCCTTCACTTGAGTCGAACACAGATCTTGTTCCTATTCCATTCACTGGCGCAGCCATCTGCCGTACTTCACACGACAACCTGGAAACGCCCCGCCAACTTTCTCCTTTTATAAGACCGCCCCTCTCGACTTCGTGGCACCATCCTCCTCCCTTCCCAAATCCTCGTCTCGCAACAATACTCCCAATTCGCGCCAACAGAACTCAGTAATCTGCGCCTATTTTTGCGTGCACTGACTGATTACCCACGATGGATAATCCAGGCGACATGGTCGACAAGTGGAAGGAGCTCTACCCGTCAGTATCACCCCTTGACAGAGAATGCGAAGGTCGCTAACGTTGTGCAATGATTTTCCCCGAAACAGAACTCAGTTCCTCGCTATCCACCTCGGAACCTGGAAGAGCCGCGTCATGGTCGTCTGTCCTCCCACACGCCTGGAGAAGCTTCATTTGATGCAATTCATCCATTACCCCCTTCACCATCCTCATCGCGGTTCTCTTCAACAGACTTACGACGACTACTACGGTCGCAAGGACTGGCCGTCACATGGATACCCATTGGATGATGATGGCCCAGATTATGATGCAGATGATAGAGGTCAGCACCAATCATGCCAACCTGTACCACTCAGGTATGGCTTTTATCTTTTGGCAAAGGAGTATGGCAAGGCTAGTATTCAGCATCCAATTGCGCAAGATCTTGCGTTTTACGACTGCCCTGAACTCCGGCGCAAGCTGTATTCAGGTCTTGTAACCATGTTGAGGATGATCCGCGAAGTAAGCGAGAATGACCCTACCTCGGAGGGTCTGAACGCCGACCGGGAACTTGGCAATATTTGCCTTACTATACCGGCACAGTGGGATTCTTCGTTTCAAAAAGTCTACCTTGACGCTCTTGCCGCTGCGTTCGATTACCAACCTGAGACTTTACGCGAAAAGGTCATGTTCATCACCGAGCCCGACGCCTTGGTGCATGTGATTTATGGCTGTTTGACCCACAAGCCTACTCCGATGAATCGCCAGCCACAGATTGAACTCTTTCTCAACTTTGGTACTCATACGACGGTATGCTCAACTCCTGCGAATATCATCTTACTTACCGTATTAACCCGGTCCTATTCTTCACAGGACGGCTCTATGTTTTGGGTGGGCCCCCAAGAGGTCAATGGACCCACGACTGTCCGTACTCGATTTTTCCGTATGGGCGATCCATTTGGTAAGACCTGATACCTGCCGGTGCATTTTGGCTCGTCTTCCTCCGCTTGGCTAACCGAAGTGCTTTTATAGGAGTTCCTGGAGGTTGGGCGCTCTGTTTCCATTACGCAATGGAATCCATAGATGACTCTTTCTTCTCAAGAGAAGGACGACCCTTATCCGCAAGGGAAAGGCTTCATATTACTTCTAAGCTCAAGTTGTCCGGAGCGAGGAAATGGGGTCCAAACTACCGCTCGCAGGGCACTTGCTTCTCGATTCTTACGGATGGGCCCGCGTATAAGACGGTCGAGATATCGATCTCTGACCAGGAAATTCGACATTGCTGGGAATCTGCTTACCGTCCCTCTCTGAGGGTTGTTGCTCAACAGTTCGCCCTATTCAAGAAAATCAGGACAGAGACAAGTGCTCCAGGTCTCGTATACGTTACGGGTCAAGATCTGTGGAGAAGTCGTCCCCTTGAGGCCGAATTGGAAAATCTTGCGAGACAAGCTGGCATCACGAACTTTCAGATCGAAGAAAGTTGTGCTGTTTTTGGAGCAATTCGAGCAGCCGAGATGAAGCTCACTGTTGAACAGTTCATCATCCAAGGGGTTGGTATTGGTTTGCAAAAGAAGTTGCCTGGTACATCTCAGTGGGAGGATGATGCTGCGTTGCTTTGTTACTACGTAAGTTGACGCAAAACAGAAACCCCTGGCCACGACGAGCGACCTAACAGCTAACACACTTGCTCCTCGGTGCTTTAGGACATAAATACCAAGGAATATCAACGAAGCAGATCCACCAGTGCCCAGCCTCAAGTCGAGGGTACCCAGTTCCGCCTACTGTGTAATCCCCTTTACCACGTCATCCCGCCGAAGAACTCTCAGTCGGAGAAGCCCCCCAACAAAGCCATGAAAACACCGATCAAGTCATATCAGTCGTATGTCTTGTTCGAAGACATGCCCACGGTCCAACAGCGTGGGAAGTACGTTTGCCATGTTGCCTTTGAGGGCAGCGGGGATGAGATGTTCTTGCTCGTCAACGTCGAGCAGGGAAGACCGTCGACAACCAAGACGGCAGAGCTTCGTCTCCGCCTCCGGTACAATCCGGTCCCCAGACGTGCCGAAGCGTTTTTGGAGCCAGCTGAGGGCGATGGAGAAGATGAAGACATGGAAGAGGCTGCTTGAACGAAGGTGAGACTCAAGGAACACAACCCGCTGAACCTCCAGACTTTTACTGACTCGGGGTCACAGTGGCAAACTGAGGATATGAGGAGGATCTTTATCGTTCTTAAATTCTTCTCGGTGCTTGCTTGCTACCGGAACGCCGCCTGCCACGGCCCTAACAATGGGACGTCACAGCCACAGCTGTGTTTGACGCTAAGCTCGATCTGTCAACCTATTGTCGGAAGTCCCTCTGTACGACGGCGAATCCTCCTCTCATATCAAGACTGGCGACCATTTCTACGGGATCACCAGTGTGACCGAAGATCAAGATGTTCTACAAGCTCTAGTTTGAGCTCATTCATGGCAGCTTGCTTTCTCTTACAGCACAAGTTTCCATGCTTTCCTTTTGTTGAAGTATCAATGTCGGAGTTTGTTTACAAATTCCATCATGCAGTGGAATACAGCGTTGGCGAGGCAATGAATAGGGGTTGGTTCCACAAGAATGTGGGCAGCAGGCTTGCATACAGCAGGCTTAAAGGCTTAGAAGCATTTGGATCTACTGTCCCGCTTGTACGTCCGCCCGACAGGACTGTTGTACGCACGAGTGTGCAAGTCCACTTGTATTTTTCAGCATCAAGCGAGCTGGTATTCGGGGCTTTCAGGTCGACTTGGCCCGTTGTAATTGCCCGAGATTCAGCATCAGTTTATAGAGAAATGTTACAAAAGACATTAGGGGAGATGTCAACGAGTGTCCAAGGAGTGTTGAGGCAGATAGATGAGCGGATGGACGGGGATGCCTCGCATATGCAATGTTGGCATCCATTGGCTAGGGAGCATCACCATATAACCGCCTCTTTCTTATTTTACAGTAGAGTGCCTAGATAAAGACATCATCATTAACTCCTTATTAACGATAATGGCCATTTTTCTTCCACTCGTTACATTTGTCAATTGTGAAAGTCAAGCGTACATTCAAGAGTAAATCTCAGTTAACAGTTCCCTTGGTTGTTTCACGCACTCTCCGCCTTTTATGCAACACCGAAGCAAGTCTGCGCGCAAATCACAGGACACAGGGTTGGGGTTCAACAAAGGATGCGCAGGCGCAGGTACATAGGGGCTTGCATGAATCATCTTCAGCTCAGAAAATTGGACTTGACTTTCGCATACGTTCCTCTAGTAACTCGGGCACTTCGGACACATTTGGAACATAACGAACAACCTCAGTTCGCTAGGTATGCACCACGCTCTACAAGGCAAATTATCCATCATCAAGCAACTTCTCTCCCTCCCCAGAGTATTCAGTATCTCTCACCTCTTCCCCAGCCTCTAAGCCCTTCCCGTCCTCACACTCCCCCCATCCCCCTCGCTTGCCCCAACTTCTGGTCCTCCGGCGCCCTTCTACAAGTACGCTTCCCTTCCGCCCATCCCTGACAGTAGAACGGGTTGCAGTCTCTCAAAGAACTGCCCGTATACCCCACAATCGCACGAGCTTTCAGCATTGGGTGACACGTGTGTTGAGATTTGCCAGGAGAATTCTTTAGGATTTTGGGAGGAATGTGACGTGTACCATCTCCGAGCCCCAACTCCCGCGGGAGTGCCATTTAGGGTGCAACTGCAGTATGCAGGGGTCAGAACCCTTTGTTGATGCAGGTGTCATCAGGGTCTTCTTGCCTTTGCATGGCCCCCGGTTAGGACCGCAACAGGAAGGCAATCCAGAGAATACGACTCTGGTTGCCGACTGCCGTACAATTACAATGCTGGAAAGTTTGTTAGTGCGGAACTTAGCAGGGAAGGGAAACAGGGGATCTCTCTAAAGGTGGAGAAGAACACTTGGAGCCCACACACATCGACCACTTCAGGTCTTCACCCCACCTCTACCACCTTGAGCACCACTCGCGATGTTGACCCGCCATCAGATCCTACCTGACCAACTTGAAAGAGTAAAGTGCTTGCTTTAAGTACCACGCCAACAAACTTACCAGGGCTGGATTGTACGATCGTGGTTGCCGACTGCCGGATGATGCCCCTCTTGGCTCCCGTCCTCTTCCTGCTTAAAGTCAGGTCCTTTCTCGCTCCCGGATCAATCTCTCAACGCCCAAAAGACTCCCATCAGACTGTCCACCCAGAATCGCGACCATGGTCACCAGCCCGAAAAGCCCCAAGGGCGAAGCAGCTGCGCCAGCCCCGGCCCCGACCCTGCTCAGCGCCGATGCGCAAAACGCCGCGGGCATTCTTCCTGCGTCGCACTGGACAGCGCAACCGGTAACTCACTCTTTCCATTATTATATCATGGCGCGAAATTGGGATTCGGTGTCATTTAGCAGGCCGTCGATGAGCATGTACATGGTTGACACCACTAACCTTGCATTCCGGACCCCCAGTTTCGCGAGATAATACGGTACTTGATGTTCAGGAACGGCAGCTAACACATTTCTCTCTACTTTGCAGCTCCCGGAAGAGAATTCAGGCAACGATACCGACTCGACATATGGATCTTTCAGGTCCACTATCGCTTCTCTGGCTTCGAGCATTTACGAATATCGCACCATTCAAGGAAGAACCTATCATGGCCAGATGGGTAATGCTGAATCGTGGGAACCGAACGATGCGCGTCACGTCGAATCCATGGAGATCTTGTAAGAACCCGCATGCCTGAGTAACCATGGGCGTGAGCTGGCTGCCTTTGGCTGTTGTCGCAATACGCACTCTCTTGTCTTGTTGCGACAACCGCCAAAGGCGAGCACTTCACACCCACGATCAATAGTGACTGCTTCGATCGTACAGTCTAACAGTCGAAAAGGCACCATGCTCTGGTGTTGCAGACGGACGGAAAGTTGTATCTCGCTCCACTGGACAAGAAGAAGGTACAAAAGGTACTCGACATCGCAACAGGGTCCGGACTCTGGTCCATGTGAGTACCACTCAATTTGTCTTCCTCCCATCGAGTCTCTCTAACGACGTCGTTGTTTGTTAGTGATTTTGCCGACGAGTTTCCGAATGCCGAAGTTATTGGTACCGATGTCTCCCATCCAACCTACCTGGGTGCCGCCGAATGTCAAGTTCGAATTGGACGATTGCAACCAAGAGTGGACATGGGGTGAAAACACCATCGATTTCGTCAATATGCGCTTCCTAAATGGTGTCGTCGACGATTGGTATGCCCTCTTCCGTAACGCCTATAGGGTGTGCAAGCCGGGCGCCTGGGTAGAGAGCTCCGCAACTTCTACCAAGTTCTTGAGTCCTGACGGGACGGTGAAGGATGGAAGTGCTATGGATCAATGGGGCAAAGTCTTCCGGGAGGGCGGTAAAAAGCTCGGAAGGACCTTTGCTGTCTATGAAGAGGACCTTCAGAGGAAGGGCATGGAAGCCGCGGGATTCGTCGATATTCAGTACAAGGACATCCAAGTCACTCTGGGTATCTGGCACCCAGATAAAAAGGCCGCCGAAATAGGTCTTTGGTGGAAGCTGGCTATTGAGTCAGATATCGAAGGTTAGTGATGCTTCAAGTCATGAAGAAGAGAGGAAAGTGAAAAGGGGGCAATGCCAACACACTGTTGGCCTTTCGATCGAAACTGCTGAGACTAATGCTAACACATGGCCACAGGATACATCAACTACTTCTGGCATGCTGTACTTGGCTGGACCCCTGAGGAGGCCAAGGTATTCGCCCGCCACATCAAGAGGGAATGGAACGACCCTAACCTTCACGGCTATTTCATGATGCGCGTCGCATGGGGCCGTAAGCCAGAGTAAAGAAACGGGATAGACGGTTGCAGGATGACGGGGGACTGGTGTCACAGAGTTTTGGATTTTTCTAGGAATTAACTGATGTATGGAGGGATACCGCTCGCAGCTGATACCCATCAATTCAGTCTTGAAGAGGGCAATGCCGATCTCCTTTCTACCCAGATGCGGCACATGTCTGCGGAAGAGAGTTCATCGTCCAATTTCCCGGTGATCGTCCACTCCTTCCATGATTCCTCATCATCAGGGGCGACTTTACCCAGAAACGAACACAAACAACACCGCTCAACAAACACAAGACTCCTCCCAAGCCATCCAACCTCAGAATCAGAACCTCAAAACTCCTCCATCAACACATCCTCCTCCCTCTTCGCTTCAAACTCTATGTTCTTCTTCCTTGCCTATTCATCGGTCACCGGTCAATGCCCTTGCTCCTTGTTTGTTCGTGGTGGTGCTGATTGTTATCGGTATCGTTGATCCCGTCACTCTTGTTGCTCTTCTTGCGACTGCTGCCGCTGCCGGGCGTCAGGTCCCTGGCTCTCTTCTCCCTTGCCCTTGGCTTTGGATTTGATCCCAGCTTGTGTGGGTGGTCTTCTCGTCGGTGGCGCGGGCACAGAGGGCATGGGACCGGGCGCGGCAGCGGAGGACGATGTGGTGACTGAGGAGTCCGCAATGGGAACGAGAGCAAGTGCTGGAGTGGCTCTGGAGTTACGCGTAGCACGGCGATCGCGTTGGGCTTGGATGGTCGCGCGGAGGGGGCGCTTGCTTGTTGCGGCACGGGGGGCCGGAGGGTGATGGGAGCGATTGGCGTGAAAGATGTTGGTAAGCAATGGCGGACGGCGGAAGAATCGCCTGGTTCGGGTACGGAGTTTGGCTCAGGTGCTGGGACGGCGGTGGAACTGGTTGCAGGCTCGGCCGTGAGTCCAGCCGTGGGTTCGGTCGGGGGCTTGGAACTGGACGCAAGTTTTATCGCGATCGTGGTTTATGCTGCTAACAATGGGCTGTAGTCAGACAGCCAGGTCGTCAACGGCGAGGGAGGCTGAACAAGAAGTGGTCTACTGAAGGCCTTACAACCGGTACTCAACCGCGCTTTCAGGAAGACTACCTAACGCCCCCCCTGATGGAAGTCTTGTGGAAACCAAACGGAGCAATGCCCCTCCTTTCAGGTCCAGGTTCAACTGGAACTCTTCTTGGCGTCTGTCAGTCCGATGTTGCTGTCCCTTCACCTCATGTGTGGGGCTTCTGTGTAAATTACCGGACAATACTTATCAGTGAAGGGAAGCGACACTCGGGGATGGAATTGTTCTGGTTGTTGGAAGTCCATGCCCCGCAACCTTGGGCGCGCAATTCACTGGGATTTCCATTCACCGACACTCCAGTCCCTTCCTGGTAGTATAAGTAGACTGCCCTGAGTTCCCGTCCGCCTTCTCCTCTTCGCCTTTCTACGGTTCTACCTCCAACACGCAACGGGGCAGAAAACATTTACGTCTTCTGCTTATCTCTTCCTTCTTCAACCTTTCTTCCACCCTTCCTCCACGACTTCGACGTGACGACCTTCCTCTCTTCGCGCCAACATCATTGCACCCGCCTTCATTTGCCGCAGGAAATCGGCGCCAAAGCGGATAGGACTTCGACAACACCACCATGGCCGCCCCTTTTTCAAGGATGAATCTCTCCCAATCACAAGGCGCAGCGAGGTTTGTTTTCCGATCCCTACCTACCCATTGACACGTGTACTCAATCTACTTTGATTATGACTTAGCCAGAATGTCTTGGTCACCCTGGACCTTGGCACCGTTAGCACTCGCGTCGTCATTAAACACAGTGAAGGCATCATGTCTAAGGTTTTTGCCTCTCATGGTTATCCTTTCGATAAGCATGTCTCCGTGTACATTGGCGAAGATCACGCGTCCGACCGCGAATCAGTTTCGCTTAAGTATGCATTCTACATCCTTGCCAATGCTTCGGATGGGTTCGTGGATCAATACCCCATGCTACAGAGGCTCCGTCAAGAGGACAGCGAGACATTCCGTCAGAAACTTCGGATCGGAATTTTGCAGTTGTTGTGGACAGTCCGCTACTGGATTTTCGAAGACTTTCGCAAGCATTGGGTGATTCGTCGCCTCTCGCTTACCATGCCGGCGCAATGGGGTTTAAGGTTTGAAGGTGTTTTTCGGGCTCTAATCGGAGAGGTCTTTCAGTGGGACACGACGATGGTAAGAGACAAAGTCGGCTTCGTTAAGGAGGCCGATGCCCTAACTCATTACCTTGTGAACACACCTGAGTACCTTAACAAGGTTAAAGCACCGAACTCTAATCAAGTGTGGCTGGTCCTTGAGTTCGGCGGACATAACCTGGTAGGTGCTTCCGTCCTCTTAGCTTGATCAACATGCGAAGTATTGCTGACATTATGAATCCAGAACGGATCCCTGTTTTGGGTGAAGCATAACGAACAGGGACCGCCGCAGTATTTTAGACTGGGAGAATCATTTGGTGAGATTAACCATCCCCGTGCCATCCACTCCACTATTTAATGGTCCAAATTCTGATATATCGCTTTCTTTCCTAGGTGTTGGCAGCGGCAGTGAGCACATCCTTCACAACATCTTGGCCGCTTGTCCAGCCAAGTGCCTTAACCAGAGTGCCGGCCCCGGACATCTGATGTGTCCTGCTGTCTCCGAGCAAATTCGCGAGGCATTCACTGATCCCCGCATCAGAGGAGACTGGGGCCCTGCCCAGGAGGGAGAGAATCCCAAACTGTTCTCTTTCGGTGTGCCCCTGTGGGAGGAGCAGGATTTTCTCTTGTGCACGTTCGACCAGGCCGAGATCACTCAGACTTGGAACGACGCTCATAAAGCCGCCTTTGAGCTTGTCGAGAAGCAACTCAAGAACCTCAAGAAGAGGACCACAGAGACCAATCACCCTCACATTGTCCCTGAGCCAGTGATCTTCATTGCCGGAGGTAGCAGCAAGAACAAGCCCTTGAAGCGCAAGCTGATGGCTATGGTCCAAGAGGCCAACCTCCCCGCTCCGGTCTTTCTTGACTAAGCCTCCCTTGACAACGAGTAAGTTCTACAGCTTACTGCTCCATGCCAAATGGAACTTGGACTGACAACATACTCTCCACAGCCCGGTGCGAAACGCCAGTGGAGCAATCACTGTGACGACCATGATGGAGTCTCCCGAAAACTTCATCTTAATTGGAATCGACAGTGCTCTGCAGATCAAGCAATTGAGTAGGCTGTGGCCCACTTGGCTGATGACAACGGTGCTCTGGTTTCATAGGGGATGGCGATTGAGGGGTATGCCCACGATTGTGTAGGCTTTGGGCTTGTGGTTGACAAAAAGCTTTGTCGCTGGTGGTCGTTCTGCTTGGTTCCCTGTTTTTTTTCCCTTACATCGTCTTTGCGCGCCAGCTAGTTCTAGCGTCTGCGATGTTTGTTTTACTCGGGATTTTTTCTTGACGATGTCAAGTCACATCGTTAGATCTGACAGTGTGTCAGCGTTGAATAACGGAGCAAACTGATAAAGGGCATTAAGGGGGAAAAGATTAGCGATAGAGTAGGAATAGCACAAGCCCATAGATGGAATTCTAATATTGAAAGTTGACTTCTTTATGATCCTGTTTCTAGAATAGTTGCGAGTATTGTGACCTTGATTCCTTACGGTCGTTTCCCTGGACTTGTTTGTTGGCTTTATACCCCGAGGAAGATCTGTTAAAGACCGTCCTGAATGTCATCATAATATTTTGAAATACATAATCATCAACCAAAAAGAGATTATCAGGATCTGAGTTGACATAATGACACAGGAGTTAAGCCTCCGTCATCCAAGAAGACACATAAACCAGATGTAGAAACGCCTAGGAATGTTGACCAGACGCCTGAATCCGATAAGCTCTCCAGGGGTGCTTTGTAATGATTATGCCAAGAAAACTTGAATGAAAGGGTCGAGGTGAGAGACAGCATCAAACTGAAGCGCTACTCGTCAGGGCTCGAAGCGCCTCTGACTATTTTTACCAAGAGTCAAGCGGCGTTTCGAGCCCTGACGAGTAGAAGCGACAGGCCATAGCGCGGTGCATGTGGTATTTTCCATCCGCAAACCCGTGCATATTCATTCCAGGAAAGCACGACCCGCACCCACCCCAAATTTCCATGCGCCTCAATGTCCACCTTCCAAGACACTCAACCAGAATTTTTCACGCACGCAACATGACTTGATTATCTTTGGCAGGCTATGAATTCAACCTTTGAACCCGTTGTTAATCCACCTTGGTAGTTGAAAGTTTGTTAAGAACGGTCGCTTAGGGTGTTTGCATTCGTGGGGACCGATACTTGCAATGCTCGCGGAATAAGGCGGGTGGTTGATCCAAATTCTGCCAATGGTTAGAGAGAGAAGGTTGGTGTAATAAAGCAGGAAACAAAATATTTACGTGGGGAAGAAAGTATCTTTACGGGGAGTAATGTTGGTGTATGTTGTGGGGCAGGGTGCGTTTAGATTTGGGGTTGGCGCGAGTTGTCAGTGTCCTTGGGTTCCTAGTACCTTTCATATTTCTCTTTCATATGCTGTATCATGAACTCCTCAAGAGACTCCTTTCCGGTTTGATATCGGCATTCGGGAACAACAGTAACGTTCTACACACTGGCGTGTCTTCAGGTGAAGAGAGTCGAAGGGGTTGGTTGCGGTAATGAAGACGGGATTGCTTATTCAGGAGAAAAGGAATGGTGGTCTGATTGATGGTGGGAGTTGAATGCACGATAGTGGGATGCCTGATGGGTGAGATGGTGAAAATGACAACGGTCAATGACTGAGAAGTTCAACAAACGGAATGGCGAGGAACTGAGTGGGCTGGGAGAGCAATGGAACCGGAAGAAGAAGAGAGCACTATGCCAGGGTGGCAGGGGAAGGTATCGACCACCGGACAATTCGGGTAGCCGGTAGGTGCCATCTTTTTGAAGATGCAGTATTGAGAAAGAAACTTGGAAGTTGCACTCCCAGTCCGCCTTCCACATTCCGCACGATAGTTCAGAACATCCATTGAACCGCTATTGACGTTTATTCTCCCGTCATAAGTACCTCTAGTACACTTGAACTTCCATGCATGCATTGCCCGTATCAGTAGGTAGGTAGCACCGCAAGGAAAGGCGATATTCTTGGACCAGAGTGCTGACCATCTGGCCAAGGCTCCAAACACACAACCATCTATCTTCAACCCTATTCACAGTGTAGCCCCCACTACGGACGCCTAAGTGTTCATTCCATAGCTTCCTTTCATGGCTTCGTTCCATAGCTCCGTTTCATGTCCATTAACACCATCTCCCGAACATCGTCCACTCCGAACCTAACTTAGTCCTCCTTCAATCGCCTCCCACCACCGCCCCAAAACTTGGGGTTAACCTTATCGTCCTCCGCCGGCTCCGCCCTCCCATGCTTATTCTCAAAGTCCTTATTATGCTCGTCCACCTCGGCCTGCTGCTCCTTGGTCAGATTGGGTGTCTCGCCGGGCACGCTAGCATTGCTAATCTTGGGCTGGGGCGGTGCGCTCCGATGGGAGCTCGAGAGGGGCTCGCCGCCACCGGTGCGGCCGCGGGCGTCGCCGTTCGCTAGAGCATCCGGCATGGCGAACTTGTCGTCGGTGTTTGAGGTTGAGGTGTTGGACTGACCGGAGCTGCTGCTGCTGCTGCTGGACGACTTCTTCCCTTCGGGAGCGTTGGGGATCTGGCCGCCGGTGGGCGAGGAGCCCGTCTCGACGGCTTCTTTGGAGCGGGAGCCGCCTGATTGGGCGGAGGCGTCCTCGGAGGATTTTGGGGAGGAGGTGCCCGTGGATTGACCCGAGGTTGTGCTGTTGCCGTAGCCGCCGGTGGATTGGAGATAGCGGGTGGTGTGGAGGGGAGCGATGCGGCCCGTTGGGAGGGTGGCGAGGGGCGCTGCGATGGCCCGGAAAAGGGTGCGAGAGGAGAAGCGGTTCATTGTTGGATGTTTGAGGATGTTCCTATGGTGTGTTCTGATTGTAAATTTTACGAATTTCGATTGATTAAAGTAGTAAAGGTCAAAAAGATTCGCATTGTTTTGGTAGGAAAGCTGTGTTTTGTTCGGGTGTTTGGGCAAGTTAAAGGACGAGCTGGGATCTGGTGGCCAAAGAGGTACTCACTGAAGGTGACGTTATGGTCATGACATCATCAGTAGGTACAGCTGCTATGCAAGGAGCCCTTGTCCAATCGAGCCGATTGATGGATGCGGGTAAGGAAAATCCATGCACTTTTGGAGCTTCTTATCTTATCGTTGATTCAAGACAGAGTTAGCTACCTGACCAACCTCTCTAACAGCTTTCATGTCTCGCGAGCACCTCAAGCTCCACGCACATTAAACCGATACTGATCACCTCTATCCAGGTATACAACCTTGTCACTGAGTCCTGCTCCTTTAACAGCCTCCTTAAAATCATCCAGCCCCGACAAGAATACACTGTAATCATCAAAGTGCACCGGAATCGTCACGTCCGGATCCATCAACTGCATCAGCTTAACCCCTTGCTCCGCATCCATAGTCACCATAAACAACGGCAACTTGGGTCCTGGAATCGTAGTGCCTCCCAAGTGAACCAGCATCAGGTCAATCTTCTCGTCCTTCAACCGCTGCGGAATCTCCTTCAGCTCGTCCACAAACAACGTGTCGCCAGAGATGTAGATGCGATACCCCGTCTCGCCTCTGCTCTCTGACCCATCAGCCGAGTAATTCAACTCGATCAACCAGCCATTGGTCGGTGGGACAGCTCCCAGAAGCTCGTTTGCAGCGGCAAGCGGTCCGGGGGGGACGTGCTTCCCCGGCATGCCGGTGACCTTGACCACGGGCTTCTTCCCTCCTGTGTCGCCCTTGTAGTTGACCACAGGAAGAAGGATGGACTGGAAAAAGTCCAAGTCGTAAACGGCCTTGAACGGGTCTTCTTTGCCAGCCAATGCCTGCTTCGCGTGCGGAGTGGAGATGATGGGGAAGTCCCTGTTCAGACTCTCCTCCACCAGCTTGTCGAAGTGGTCTTCGTGGTAGTGCGAGAGGAGGATACAATCAAGCGGAGGCAGGGCGTCGATGTCGATGGCTGGGTTCTTCAGCCGTTCGGCGGTGACACCGGGACCGAGATGTACGTGGTCGCCGGCGTGCAGGAAGTTCGGGTCAGTAAGGATGCGGATGCCGTGCCATTCGATTACCGTAGTGGCGTTACCGATGAAGTAGACGCTCCCGTTTTCTTGACCTGTCGAGACCTTGGTCGGGTGAGTCTTGATGTTCGCGACGGGGAGGACAGGTTCGGGGCCGTGGTCATGCGAATGGTCATGTTGGTGATGGTGTTCGAGCTGGGCTTTGAGGAGCGGGATCCGCTTGCTGGGGTCGAGCTCGAGACGGTGGACTTGTTGGGTCTCCATTTTGTTGTTTGGATGTTAAGGTTGAGGATTGATAGGAACACAATTTCTGTTGATCATGATACTAACCTCTTTGTTTTGGCGCTGTCGTGTGGTTCTGTCGTGTCGTTTGTTCTTTCTCCCCGGGAGCAGCGTTCTATGGATGTATGATGTAGTCGATGCGGTCGGGGCAGGCACCCCGCTATAGCCGTACTGGGAAGGCGGGGGTCTAGCGAACAGCAAATTGACTGTCAATTGACTGTTGGGGGGTCGTAAACGTTGGTAATTTTTTCAAGTGTTCTAGTGGCTGTTCGAAATTTTTCAAATATTTACTGAAATAAACGTTAGAATGTATCCAAACGTTGAAATGGGTAAACGTTTGAGTTATTAGGGTGTAATCCGTTGGCTTTTTTTTGTGCTCACTAGTATAAAAAGTAACTTTAGGTAAGCAAGCTGTATAGACTATTTCTTACCAGATTTACCGCTTAGCGCATAGACTGGGTGAAAATACTGGTAAAAATGTTAGTGAAAATTGTGACCTGTTTACTTTATTAAAATCTTCAAAATCATTTGAATTAATCTACTAGTTAATTACCAAGACAGAGCGCATCAATTACTATAATCGATAAAGTTATTCAATATATACTTTTATATAATTAATAACCTTTGCCGATATTATTTTAGTGATAAATCTAGATTGTCTGTCGGCTGTAGCAAAAAGGGGGAAATTTTCAATATCGCTAAATCGTATAAAACGGTTAATAAATATCGATATAACTATTTGATTCCGATTATCTTTTTTCTTTATTAGACTGTCTTATTAACTGCCCAATCGATATAGACTCTCAAAAGTCGATTATATATACTTCCAGTACCTCCTAGTCCTAATCCTTTACTTAATTTAATATTACTAGTATTAGCTAAACTACTAGCCAAATTAGACTACCTTCTATTTAACGCAAACCTCCTCCTAAGAAAGGTAAAGTTAATATATTAAAAATTCAATAATTACCAGCTTAAAAAAAATTACCCTCGAAATTCTCGTTTAAACCGTTATAAGTAGCGCTATCGAGCAGAATAACTTTAAAGAAACTATATATTAATAAATTATACGTTAATTCGCTATTAAAGGTATTACTTTTATTATTAAGTAATTACGTAATAAGTATAGAATTTGTAAAGTAAAGTAGCGGCTTTAAGAATTTATCCGTTCGTAATTGGAATTCGGGCGTAATAAAGTAACGGGTACGATTATTACGCTAAATGATATTTAGGATAATATAATCGTAGTTAATATTATTCAATATTATTTTTATAGGGGATTTATTAATAAAGGAAAATTATAGGAATATCCTAAGATTATTTAATTTAGGTATAGCATCCTTCCTTATTTCAATTTTATAAAACGTATTTTCGAAGGTAATTATAATACTACGGGTTTGAATACGGTTACCCTATTTAATTTATTAATCGACCCCGCTATATTTAAAGGGGACGAAGAGGAAATAATAATATAATTCGAAGAGGAGGCGGCCGTATAAATTAAAAACGAAGAGGAAAATAATAATAAAGAGGGCTTACACGTCCCCGCCTACGCGCATAATATATAGAAGAAATCGTTAATTTTTTTTAATATTAACCTAAAGAAGAAAAAGAAACTATCTTATAGCAAAATTATATTCGAAGGTATATTTACGTTCGCTGCAATTATTAGATTACTTAATAGCGGTTCGAAATAGTTTGTGAAGGCGATAGAAATCTTTAACAAAAATTAAAATTCGGTCGTATTTAACGATATTGTAAAAGAAGTTTAAGAGAGGTAGGAGGAATTTAAAAGGAAGGTTAAGCGATTTTATTATTTAAAATTAAAGAGGAGGAAGTAATACTTTAATAAAATCGAAGAAGAGTTAGAAGTGGATTAATAATTTGGAAAATTTAGGAGTAAAATCTATACCTTTTGTAAATACCCTAAAAATCGCTATATTTCAACCGATTATTTAACATATTAAAATTAATTGCCCTTCGTTTCTCCTAACTAGCAAAATTAGCGCGCGGGCTATCCCGCTTACCCTACTCTCGTTTTTTTTCACAATTTTTACTATAATATAATAAAATCTATACTCGTTCGAATTTTAACATAAAAAGAATATTATAATCGCCTCAATAAACTATAAATACTAGTAATTTTATATTATTATCAATAAAAGTTTTGAAATAAAGGTAGTAATATATTAGAGTAGGATTCTTAATAGGGGCGGGCTAGCGGGAGCTAATACCTTAGTATAATATATCTTATATAAATACTCCTTTAAATACCCCTTATTCGAATTCTAATGAAGTATTCGATTTTAGACCTGTTAACTATCTTTTATTTATTTTAATATATAAATTAATAATAATATTCATAATAATATCGATAATAATCGTAGTAGGATACCTTTTTAACTGTTTTTTCGATATTTCTAGAATTTTATTACAAATTGCGTACCCTATACACCCCTCTCCTTTATACCCTCCTCTCTCCTCCTCTCCCCTCCTTTCACCTCCTCTCCCCTCTACCCTCCTCTCCCTTCCTCTCTACTCTATACAACCCTCGATCGCCTCTCTCCGTCTCTATTTCGTTTCTTAAATACGTATAATAAGCCTTTTATATTTACTTCATAATCTTTTTATAGTATTTATATATTGCACCCTTCTCCCGGCCGCGCATCTTCAATTTATTAAAGTAGAATCTAACCTATAATTCTTAATTTCCTTCGCCCTCCCCCTCCTTCAGCAAAAATTCGTCGATATCCTCCTCGTCCTCAAAAATAATATTACTATATTCTATTATAAAATTTAGCAACCCTGTAATAGTAGAAATAATTTAAATTTGAATTTTAATAAGGAAGATAGGCCTTGAAGTATAAATTCTAAATATTACTTTCAACCAACTAATTACCCTCTCGATAATAACCCAAAATTAATTATATTTTAAATTATATAATTCTTTATATATTACCAGTTTAACTTCTACCCTCCTCGACTCTTATAAATAATATTATACGCTTCGAAATAGAACGAATAATCTATACAAATAATTATACCCACAGTCGGCTAAATAAAAGCAATTCGGTAAAATCGTAAACCCGCGTAATAATAATATACTAAAAATTCGACCGTTATAAGTAAAACCCTCGTACCTGGGTAAAATATACGTAATACGGCTATTAAAATCATATATAGTTATTATATTTATTAAAACTCCTCCCTTACAGGTTTTCTATATAAATTATTCGTCAGCGCCTACCCTAATAAAATAGTAGGAATTATTGAAGGTACTTAATATACTTTCGAAATATAAATACGCTTTAAAGTTCGTTTCTATTTTAGCCGGAATATATAGGGGGGGAAATTTAACTTTTAATTAGGCAAGTCTTATATAAACTTTGAATACTTAATAAAAAGTCCTTTTATATAATAAATAGAAGTTATTATAGTTATATAAAACTTTAAAACTAATTTATAAATTATAGTAGTACTTTAATTAGTAATAAACCCCGATATCCAATAAATCGTACCCTAGAAAATAATTATTAAGAAAAGTAGGAGTTTTTTATCTACCTATATCTTCTTTCCTATACGCAATCTAATATTATATTCTAACTATATTACTAACGTAAAAAAAGTATTTGCCCGTATACAGATTACTAATTATAATTTACCCTAATACTTATATAATAGGTTTCTAATAACAAATTTCCCTTTTAAGGGGTCTAAATTTATAATAAGTTCGGGACTAAATTATGTCCTCGCTATTATAATAATTAGAAATAAAATTATATATACCCGCACTTTATAAGTACGGCGCTATATTGTATCGGGTTAAAGTATTTCTAGGGGTAGTTCAATATTGCAAATCTAATATCAAGGATGCTGGCACTGCTATATATACTGGGTTTTAAAAGGGGGTAGACTAAGCTCCAAAAGGGGGTGGCAATTCTTAGTATTAAAATTTTTAAAATTATATAATTTATAAAGTATTAAATAACCCTCTAGCGCGATAACCGGGTAAATAAGTAGCTTTACGCTCTAGTTAGATAGAAGGTCAAAAAGTGAGAATTTTATATATACTGGGTAAATAAGACGTACATTGGGTGAGAATGGGTGAGAAAAAATATATTCCTGTCCAGAAAATATGAGACTACGATGCTCACCGACGTGCTCACCCGGGTGAGCACCCCTAAAAAAAGCAAACGGATCATGCCCTTAAGCGTTAGAACCCTACTAAACGTTAGGATTATTGAACGTTTATAGCATATTAATTATTTATTAAATATTTAATGAACATTTAGGTACGGTTACGGTCACGGTCACGATCACGGTTATAATTATAGTCACAGTCACAGTCATGATCACGGTCACGGTCACGGCTATAGTCGATTGATGCATTTGGTTTCTTGGTACCTCTTCCAGCCTAAGAAAGAGAGAGAGAGAGAGAGAGAGAGAGAGAGAGAGAGAGAGGGGGGGGGGAGAGAGAGAGAGGGAGAGAAAAAACCGAATAACCAACTACCAAAGCATTGAGTTTGCAAATGCCACTTGGCTACAACTCTTCCACTTAGAAGACGAATTCTATGCTTTGGTAGTTGGTTGCCCGGCTCCCTGGCTCCCTGGCTCCTTAGGTGAATGAATGACTGTGAGGTTTTTGGTTGGAAAGAGGAAAAGGAAGAAGTGCAAAGTTTTTTTCTCAAAGGTTGGCCTTATAGTAGCCCAGGTGGAAGATGGTAGTAGTAGCCGTCATTCTTTCCCTTTTGCAAATTTGAAGTTTTTCAACTTTGCGACTAGGCCGGGGTTGCAATACCGGCAACGTTAACTTATACCCAAACGTTTATTTATATTAACCGTTTGAAAATGCATTTGGTTGGGCCAACCGTTGGTCAACACTTCGTAAACGTTTGTTCCAAAACCAACTGTTTAATTACAGTTCGAAAATTTCAAACTAGTTTCTGACTGTTCGCTAAACCCCCCCCTTCCCAGTACGGAGCGGCCCGCGTCAACCCGTGGAGACGCTTTCTTTCTCTCCATCCTCCACCAGCATGTTGTTCCTGGCGATCACTTCCGATGTCCTTCTTCAAACTTTGGGCGTGTTCACCCGCGAGATCGACTGGATTCTTTTGGTCGTTCCCCGTCGTCGAAGCTATGGCTGCGTACTATAGCTGAGGTTTGAGTAGTGATTGGAGGACCCTTGGCGGGGTCAACATTCGACTGCACCCAGCCGAGCCAGGCCTGCATCCCTTCCGCTCAAACCCATTCCATGACTGAAAGCCGATGAAGCCGTGGGGTATGCTGGTTCATGAGGTTCTAGTGTTTGTGAGTTTGGTCCCCCTTTTCAAACAGATGCTGATTGCTAACGAAGACGGGACCGATGTTCCCAGTCTTGAGGTCTCCCGCTTGTCAACTTGCCGTGTCCATGACAAGACATGGCGTGGATAGGCTTCTGCTCGCTCCCACTGCCGGAACGACGGCAAGCCCACGCTCAAGTTGACCCGTCGCATTTTACAAGTCTCCGATTGGCTTGGACCTGGATTTTTGGGAGCTCTATCGAACCACGACCTCGGTCACTGCGGGGTAACGTCTCAACCGCTCTGTTCGACACCGTGTACGCGGCCAGTACCATTCTCAGGTGTACCCAGTCGCCGCCAGTCAAGCCAGTGACAACAAACCGAGCCAAAAGGATGTCACCGGCAGCATGCGCTGCTGCAAGGGAACGGACCCTATAGTCCATGCAGGCGTCAGACACGGTGGGTTCCCATTGGCGATGCTCACTCAATGACGGTTACCGTCCCCGACTCGGTTTCACCTCCGAGGATCTCTCTGCACTTTTCACAGTGGACATTGCCGGGAAATTGTACGGTTTGGTCCTCGACGTACGATACGCCTCCCGAAATTCCTGGTTAAAGGCTCACCCAACGGCACACTTGTCGCTTCCCAAGCCCATACCTCAAACCTGCGCTCCTCTCCTCTTCTGTCCACCAAGCACAGTCGCAAAGATGTCGAGCTCCCAAGGTCCCCAGAGCCCCAAGGGCCCCGAGAGCCCCAAGAGCCCCAATAGTCCCGGGGGTAAAGCAGCTTCCCCTGAACCAAATCCGGCACCACCTGCGATTGTGGCGCTCAGCGCCGAAGAATCAAGGGAAGCTGGTATCCTACCAGGCGCCCACTGGACAGAGCAACCGGTAATCTCTACGTCTTCGCCAGCCACGTTGTTCAATGAGTATCAACTGATGCGCATTCCTTCTGTCTAGATTGAGCAAGTAGACGACGATGGTGCCTCCACTATTGGATCCGTTGCCTCCACCACAGCCTCCCTCACTTCGAGCATTTTCGAGTACCGGACCGTCCACGGAAGAACTTACCATGGCGATATTGGTAATGCGGAATCATGGGAGCCTAACGACCAGCGTCACGTTGATTCTATGGACATCATGCACCACACTTTCATGCTTTCCCTCGGGGACAAGCTTTTCCTCTCGCCGCTCGAAAAGCAGAAGATCCATAAGGTGCTTGACATAGGAACAGGTACCGGTATTTGGGCAATGTAAGTCATTATGCTGTCTCTTACATGCCGTATACTTTGAAGACTAATAATTGATTGCTGAAATACAGTGACTTTGCCGATGAATTCCCCAACGCCGAAGTGATCGGAACCGACGTGTCCCCCATTCAGCCTTTCTGGATTCCTCCAAACGTCAAGTTCGAGCTCGATGATTGCAACCGAGAATGGACTTGGAATGAGGACTCCTTCGATTTTATCCATCTTCGTTTGCTGATTGGCGTTGTGTCCGATTGGTCTAATGTTTTCCGCAACGCTTTCCGCTGTGCTAGGCCGGGTGGATATGTCGAGAGTCTGGTTACTAGTACCTATTTCCATAGTGATGATGGAACAGTCAAAAAGGGGAGCGCTCTGGAGCAGTGGCATAATATCTTTTGGGAGGGCGGTAAAAAGTTGGGAAGAACGTTTAGGGTTATAGAGGATGATCTTCAGAAGAAGGCCATGGAGGAGGCGGGGTTTGTTGACATTACAGTCAATGATATCAAGATTCCCGTGGGCACCTGGCCAGAAGATAAAAGGTTGGCCGAAATTGGCCTATGGTGGAAGATGGCTGCCGAATCAGACCTTGAGGGTAAGTTCCATTATCGGCCTCTGTTTGGCCCTTTACAATTTGCAGTTGGATTGCTTGTACTAATCCGTGCTTACAGGCTACCTCAACTACCTCTGTAACGTTTTGTTGGGTTGGACTTCGCAGGAGACTGCGGCATATTGTGCCCATGTCAAGAAAGAGTGGGCTGATACCAATATCCACAGCTATTTCTGGCTGCGTGTGGTATATGGTCGGAAGCCGTAGGGAGAGAGGGACGTGCTGTAAAGGGATATGTCCATCCTCTGGACAGATGTCTTGACTCCACTCTTTATCATGATGGATAAACACACTAGGAACTTGGGACATACATGCGCGGAATGCACAGGAGAAACTAGAGCGAGCGTCTTTGCGTGTTGTCTTTTTTCTACTTTTTCTTTTTACTAGCGAGCGTTTGATTGTTCATCGGATGGCTGCACCTGTGGAGGCGGAGGCGGAGGCAGGGCCGGAAGACGGCCGAGGGGCAGGCACTCGGGCCGTGCCGTACCCCGCCTTCCTCGTCGCGTGGTGAGCGGTCGTCACCCACCGCTATCGCAAATGCTAAGTTTATTCCAGTCTCTGCGGGATACTCGTCGGTTAGGTATAGAGTCCACCCTCTGGGGGTCTCGCTTACAGCTAGCCAACCGACTCTCATCGTCCTTTTGAGAGTCGGATTTTTTATATGTAATGTGCAAGTTCTGTAACGGTCAGAATCTTTAATAATCCGTTTCTCTAACAAAATACAAGCAAAAAAGATGGTAGAAGATTTAAATTATTCGTCTCAATTGCGCGCATTTAGCAGTATATTTCTTTTATGATCAAATTATCATGATATGTTATTATAGTATTATGAAGGCTTTGTAGCCCGTACTTATAATATAATATCCAACTCCTCTTCTTCCTCCTCCTCCCCTTATAAACTCCCATCGTCGCTAAAATCGTCGTTTATAGTAATTATCACCCTTATACGGCTTATGGGCACTTCTAACTTCTTACCTACTACTATTATAATTACTATAGTAACCTCTTCCTCGTTAGAATTTATATCGACAGCCTTCTTCTTCTCCTTCTTAAACTTCTTTCTAAGAATGTATAGTATTAATACAAATAATCCAAATGATAGCCTAGTTCGTACTATTAATATACCTACTAAATAGGCGTACCATAGTATAGCTAGGAATTTACTAAGTATATTTATACCTATCACGGGGCGAGATATTGTTGGGGGTAGGGTAAGATATGCGTTGTTGTGCAAAGGGGAGGAAAGGAAGGTGTGCGTAGAGGATTGGCTATATGGGCGGGAGCCCTGGTCAGACCAGTCTGTATATACGTATACGTGTAATTATATGTGACTGCTGTGCATGTGGCCAGTGCGTGCATAGCTTTGGGCCATAGTACTAGCTTTAGGTATAGTATATAAAGCAATTAGTATAGTTTAAGAATATTATAGGCTAGCCCTATAATACTCTCCGCCCTTAAAAGAAGCTTTAGTAGCTTCGAGTCTATATATATATAAAGTAATATTCTAAATTATTTATTTTAAACTCTTCTTGTAATTCTCTAACTCCTCGTCTTCTAGCAACCTATTATAATTTATAAATTCCGTCTTTAGTATTCAATTAATTTAAATATCTATTAACCGTTATACTATCTTTATAAACGCTACTTCTAATCCCCGTTCCTTATATACTGTAAGTTTGGTCGTAGGTATTATTATAATTATAATTGTGTCAGGTAGCGGCTTTATAACGTCGATAACGGCGGCGGTCTATTATTAGGCAATATAGGTAGACCGGCGTTTCGGGGGTACCGGGGGTATTAGAGCGGTAATTAGTATTAGGGTAGTAGACAGTATTAGAGTAGTCGACAGTATTAGAGCGGTCGTTAATATCAGAATAATAATTAGGGTTAAAATTTATCTAATAAATATAATTTTAACGTTTAATAATATAGGTTTATTGGAAAATTCGTTATAGAAACGCCGGAGTATTTCTTTATAGTCGATGACGTAGTTTTTAGGTTCCTAAGTCGGCTAGTTATTACCTTTCCATTTAAAGCAGTAATACTAGTAATAATTACCATTAAATTAGGCGTAATTAATAAACTTTTTAAAATTTTATTCTGTTTATTCTTCATAATTATCTATTTTAATTATTATACGACCGTTATTTACTTTTACGTTAGATAATATATTTTAGCCAAGTAAGTTTTCACTAATTTATAGTTGTATTATAGAGATATAGAAAATTAGTAAGTATTTTATATTAATTAGGAGCGCGAAATATACTATATAATTCTCCACCCGGGTAATATAGAAGGGGCCCTCCTATTATAAATAAAATTTTATGTACGGTCGGCCGTTAATTAGGTTTATTATATTAAGTAGGATTATATTGCCAGAGTAGTATTTAGGGGAATCGATACGTTTTTTATTAGCATTATTTTCATATCATTCCTATATCTATTAGGTTTATTATATTACGAAGTCCTAAATCTTTTAGAAACGGTTCGCTAATTAGGTAATTTTATAATATTCTTTTAATTAGGTTAGAGAAAGATCGAGGGGTAGCACGGTATAAAGTTTAGTACTTATTTATAAATAGTAGCCGTAATTAGCAAAAAAGGGGGAAATGCCCGTCGACGACGATATAGTATTATTTTCAATAAATTTTGCAATTAGTAATTATTTCGCCTAATTTATTTATACCTAATTAATATAAACTTGTAGGAATTATTTTATTTCTCTATTAATATATTTCATTTGGGTATTAATTTGGGGTTAAAAAATAAAAATTAATTTACGAATAATAAATATTTTTTTATAAAGGGTAAATTAGAAATACGATATAAATGAAGTACCTTTATTAAAGAGAATATTATTTAATAGGCTATAGATTGATTAAATACAGTTAATAAAGCAATTTATAAATTCCTCCGCTTTTAAAGTTATTATAAGTATATCGTACTATGTTTTAATTAAGCGGTCGGTAACAATAGTAATATATTTAAAGGTTTAGTTCAAATAGGTATTTTTTAGTAATAGGGTAATATAATCGATAGATACATTTCGTTACAACATTAGGGAAATAATTACAGGTTTAAAATACCCGGTTAAACTCCGTTTAATTAATTTTGTTTTTATATAGGGGAGGTAACTTTTATAAAAAATCCTTACATCATTATATATCCCTTTTTAGTAAAACTTACGTTATAAGAATTCTTATATAATATTACGGTTAGGGTAGCCCGTATTGGGAGAATTATATTAGCGATTAATTAGTTAAAATTGGAATTCCTTATTATAAGGGTCGATAATTACTTTATTATATAATTTTATTATGCTATTTATAGCGTAGTACTCGGAGAAAATATAGTAGAAAACCTTTTTAATAATCGGTAGCTATTAGCGCTACGTTTTATTTATAAAATAGAAGACGAATTTTTATAAAAAGATGGATATTTTATAATTAATACGGATTAAATCGTTAGTAAATTTATTATTAAAACTTTTTATATTTAGTAAGTAGAGTAAGAAATTAGTAGCGGGGTCTTCTTTAGAGAAATAGCCGTTTTCGAATTACGAGGGGTTTCGAAGCGGGCGATTTTTAGCTATAAATTTATTATTTTTTATATTGTTAGGACGGTTGTTTGGTTTCTAATTTAATACGTTTGGGTAGAGGTTCTTCGAACCCGGTATATATTTAATTAGGAAGTTAAATTAGGATAGGAATTAAAATTATCATATATAGCGTTAGGTAAAATATTTATTAGTTGTAAATATTTATCAATTTTTATAATCTGTTAGGATATTAAAATGTTATTGGGCGCTTTTAAATTTTAGCCTCTAATTCTTTAATATTTTAATAATAGCGAGGAATTCCTGATAATAAATATTATAATTACATTTTCGAATTATTTATTTTATTGAGAAGTAAAATATTAGGTATAATATATTATTATTCCTGTATTAAGATAGGGTATTACCTATAATTTAATTGGACGCGTCCATTTTAATTATTATCTTTTTAGTCTACTTATAGATTTTTAATACAGAGCCTTTTGTAAAAGCTTCTTTTAGCGCTTTGAAAATTTATTAATAAGTATTAATCTAAATTTAGGCGGCGTTTTTTTAGTGAATTTATATAATAGGGTCGCTATTATTGAGAAATTTCGTATAAAACGTTAGTAGAAATTAGTAAATCTTAAAAAGGATTATAGGTATTGTTTAGATTTTAGGGCCGTTTAGTTAATAACGGCTTTAACCTTTTTTAGGTCTATTTCAATACTTCCCAGAGTAATACTTAAATTTAAATACTTTGTACATATAGTATAGAATTCGTATTTATTAATATTAATATCAAGGCCCACTTTAGTTAAGCAGTTAAGAATATTATTAATATAACGTTTCTAATTTTAGACGTTGTTAGAGTAGATAAGAACGTTATCGAAGTATACAGTCGTATAAATATTAAGGATATTGTAGAGGATATTATTATTATAATTCTGGAAAGTATTTAACGCGCCCTATAAATTAAATAGTACGATTAAAAATTCGAATAAACCAAATTATATAATAAAAATAGTTAATTATTTATAGTTTGATTTAATACGAATACGGTTAAAAGCCGTAATAATATTAAATTTAATAAAACATTTAATTTCGTAGATAGTATCGAGGGTTTCTTGAATTAGTGGTAATAAGTAATAGGATTTTAGAATTATATTATTAATACTTTTATAATTAATGTAAGTATAGATATTGCCTTCTAGCTTTTTTACGAGTAGGATTAGGGAGGAGGCCTTGGATTAGGACGGTCGAATAGATTTTTTGGTTAAGTTATCATTAATTTATTTCTTAATAATATTTAATTCGTCGGGGTTAAATTGGTAGCCTCAAGCCGCTAGTAGGGTAGTTTTAGGGCGGAATTCGATTTTGAAATTATAAGAGTATATTAGGGGTAGTATTTTAATACTCTGTTATTTAAACGTTTTAATATAATATTAATGTTGAGAGGGGAGTTTTATTTTAATTTATTTATTAGTTTTTAATAGTTTATCGGGTTTTTCGTAGAATTTTATTACGTCTTCGGATATAATTTTATTTAAGGATATATTCTTCGTTACGAAGTAATTGTTAATAATAATTTTATATTCTGGGAAATCTTCTTCTATCTTTAAAAATGGTATTAAATTAACGACCTGTACAGTATAAAGGGTTTCGTCGTTTC